CCTGCCCGGAGGTGGGCCGGAAGCGCGTGTGGGGCGAGACCCGACTCTGCAGGCATCGCCTCGGGTCCCCCCGGCCGCCTCGGCCTCCCCGCGGCGCCGGGGGCGGCGGCGATCCGCACCGCGCTCTTCCCGCCCGCGCCTCCCCATCGCGGGGACACGTGTGCGGCGCCCGGAGCGCGGCGGGGCGGCCGCTGTGCCGTAGGAGCCGTTCCCGGGCTGCTCCCTGCCCTTCGCTGCGCCGTAGCGTCCCGTCGCCGGGCTGGGACGGGCAGGTCGGCCTCCGCGCAGCGCTGGGCTCTTTCCTAAGCCGGCTCTTGGAGGTAGGTCAAGGTTATTATCGCGGATGGGAGCGTGGAAATGTGGGTAGCTTCAGGGGTTTCCTCAAGGTCACCCCGGGAAGGGAAGACCCCGAGCATCCTCCCATCCTCTGCACGCTGCAGGGATGCTGGGCTCGTGGGAATTGGATTTTCCAGTGCCCCAGGCCTCGGTGCTGCAGGGAGCTCGGTGTGCAGTTCCTGCGCCCTGCCACGCTGTCAGTCCAGCGACATCAGAGCAGGACACCTCCGTCTCTTTGAACTCCTCAAAAATCTCGGCGCTCTGGCACAGGCTGAGCTGCTTGCCGACACCTCTGGGCGGTCTCTGCCGTGAAGACTCGACCTGTCACACTGGCTGCTGGGTTGGAAGCTGCAGTGATTCTGATCCTCTGCATGCTGTTGAGGCTCGCCTCCTAAACGTGCTTCTTGGCAGTGGGAAGCAAAAGGCAATCAAACCAGAGTGGCGCTGGGCTGATAGCAGCGCATCGTGTGGGGTTGGCTGGCGGTTGTGCTCTCAGTTGCAGGCTGTGTTTTGCTTTCCAGGCTGCTGTCAGCAAAAGTACAGAGGAGGCCCAAAGAGAGTTATTCTTAGCCCTTCACCAGAAAACAAATGACATAATTTAAGGATGCTTGCCCCTTCTGAATTTCTTCCTTGCAGGATTTTGAATTGTGCAGTACTGCATCTCGTCATTCATGCAGTTGCAGCATTCCATCGCTACTGTGACCTGAAAGGAGGTTGTAGTGAGGTGGGGGTCAGCCTGTTCTCTCAGGTAACAGCGATGGGATGAGAGGGAATGGCCCCAAGTTGCACCAGGTGAGGTTCAGATTGGCTATTAGGAAACATCTCTGAAAGAGCAGTGATGCACTGGCACAGGCTGTCCAAGGAGGTGGTGAAGTCCCTGGAGGTGTTCAGCAAACGTGGAGACTGTTGGGACATAGCTCAGTGGACATGGTGATGATGGTCTGGTTGTTGGACTAGATGATCTTAGCAGTCTTTTCCAACCTTAATGATTCTGTGATTCTTTGGTGCTGAGCCCCTGGGCTTGTTTGTTTACAGCATGTTGGTCACAGGTAGTCATGCTGTGTTCTGAGGTCAGCGCTCAGGGTAGGGGTGGATGGCTGTGCTGGGACACCGAGCATGCCTGGATCATAACTTGGAGCATGGCCCTGCTGTGAGGGAACGTTCACGGCCTCGTTTGGCACCTGGCAATCTTGTTAGTGTCTTAGTAAGATGCCAGGGCCCTGGAAGATTGTCCCACTGCCATTTTAAGAAGGGATAGTGTGCAGTATTGCGTTACATGGAGATAGGAGTCACTGTCAGCTTGCTAGGGTCATTTGCTGTCCTCCAGCCACACTTAGGTTAGTAGATGAGATGGGGGAACTACCTACCAGACCTGGCATCATTGGTTAGAGGACTAATTTTACAGATCCCTTAAGAAAAGCTTTTCCATGAGGGATAAAGTCTGATCAGAGTGCACGATGACTGCTTAGTACTGGGAAAACAGATTATTATCCCTTGATGCACTGGACTGATTATCTGCTCCTGCATCTCAGTAAGAAGTGTCAAGGGATGGTGGAGTGCAGCTTTCTCTCTGGGTCTTCCCAGGCAGGAGGTGGCTTTGCTGCTGGGCCAGGGCTGGGAGATGCTGGTTTGGCAAATCTTAAAGTCCTTCACCCCACTGTATGTCTCTTGGAAATGTAATGCTCTTGGAGGGCAATTGCTGAATACGCTGTAATTGCTGAAAGGGGGGGTGTCCTTGGGAAATATTTGGACTGAGGGGCAAAGGAGGGCTGGTTGTGTAGTGAGGGGTGCAGCAGCATTGAATGTTGCTGCAGAAGTGCCTGTGTGTGTGCCTCCAGCACAGCCCTTCCTTCTGTCCCTTGCTCTGCAGGCGCTGATTGCAGGGTGGTTCCTGTGGTTGTTAATGTAAAATGATGGGGTGCAAACACCCAAATCAGCCCCCTGAAAAAACCCTGCTGCTCTGGGTGGTTTGGATTTCTGTCTAGCAGTTTCCTCTTACACATCTGCAAATAGAAAAGCTTGGCATATTTGTTGCCCACACAGAGATTATTTGCTTGGAAAAGGGAAAGGTACCCGGGCAGGAATGCTTGTTCTTGGTGTCAGAGGAAATATGATGGGATGCTGTTTATTTAATTTGTGAGCTCTTTGTTGACCTTGATTTAATGCAGCCCGTGGTGAGCCACTCGCAGGCATGCAATTCTATGTTTATTTTGTTAAACCTTTCACAATCAGTTCCTGTTCTCATTTCAGTAGTGCTGTTGTAGGTGGGTGGCTGTGCCTTGTCAGCTTCCCTGCGCTGCGTTCCATCCTTTCGCTGATGCTGTGCATGGTGTGCTGGGAGAGCCATCCTGACACAGAGGGCTCTGAGAAGCCTGTGCTGAAGTGAAGCAGCACGCCCAGGTCACCAGCAGCCCTTCTCTTGGCTGTGCTGCAGCTGCTCAGCCGTGGAAGCACGGGTATGATTGATGGCCATCTTCAAATTAAGTGCTCAGCTTCTTCAGGGCTGGGTTCTGAGTGCTGCAAGTAGTACGGGCAGATCTCCCACATGCATATCGTTTACACAGGGCTCCAATTTCTGGGTGCTCTTTATTTCATCACTGGGTTGCGTAGCCCTCCTGCTCTTATTCCACACATGAGAGCAGTCTGCAGCCCATGCTCTTGGCCACGACCCCCTTGGCAAGGCCATTTTGTGAAGCCATTGCGCTGCTTTGTTTTCCTTCTTTTGCCAGGTAGGCTTATTTGTAGCGCCCAAGGTAGGGTGAATCCATAGCTTTGCCTTGTTTCCTGCTCTGTCTTGGAGGAAGCATGTAAGAAAGGACAGGAGGAGAAGAATATAGATCCTTGTCGCTGCATTGCCTGGCTCCTTACTCATACCAGTGGATGTGCTGCTTGCACACTGTGGCAGAGGAGATGGGGCAGCTCCCTGCTGTCTGGTAGGTATGGTGGAGTGGAAACAACTTGTCCTAGGCCATGTGCAAACTGGGAATTGGTTTGGTGCCACATTCAGTGATCTCTTTGAATTATGGCAGTTAGGGATTTATGCAGAAAAAAGAGGGAAGTGTGTTTTGAGATATTTCAGCGCTAACTGTGAATTTGGGTTCTGTTTTCTCCTTTGCCACGGATTCAGGCGGAGAGCACGACCATGGATAAGTAGAGCAGTGTTAATCTCTGACCCTGTACCCTGCAATCTACCAGGAAGAGGCACTTCCACAATCCTGCCATTCATGTACTTTTGCAGTAGTAGCTGTTGCAGAAGATACAGTGTGACATAATAAATGGTCTCTTCTGGGTGCTTTGTTTTCCTGTTGTGTTTGTTGCCATTCTTCCTAAGAATAGGGACAGCTTCCTTGTCCACATTCTGGGTAAGCTCTTCTCTGCTGTGAGGCAACAGGAAGACTTGTTGGTTCATCTCATCCCTGGGGAACAGCTGTTGTTTATGAAGGCTATCTTGCAAGGGTGGTAATTTTTCTAAAGGACGTAAAACACACTGTGTTGGCCTGACCCTCTTTCCCTGAACTATGTCCCACTTGCTTTCTTAGCAGCTAAATGTGTGCACGGCGTGGGCAGCTGTTGTCGTTTTGATAACAGTTTTTTTCAGAAATCTTAAAATGAAGATTCAGTGATACCCCGCTCTGATTCTCCAGAACTGCCAGAGGAGATTGCTTGGACACAGAAGTGAGGAGTGCTGCAGAAATGCCAGACGCTATATAAATAACTAAACTCGGCCCCCGGCCCTTCGCAAGAGAGGAACGATCTGCAGAAATACTTCAACAGATGGTCTGGGTTTGGCTTAGGAAGGGGTGGGAAGAGATGCCAGGCCGCAGCTGAACGTCGTGTGGGCACGTGCCCAAGTGTGCTGGGTGTCATGCTGCATGCCAGCCCCATCTGCAGCCCCTCCGTGCTGGGGAGGGCACCTGTGTGCTGCTGGGGTAGGCTCAGTGCTGGTGGTGTGTGCTGCGTGCCTGGTGAGTGTGGGATGCACGAGATGGGCAGTTTCCCACGGTGGCAGCCCGAGCTGGCTCCACTCGGGGTTGTGAATTGAAGCCCAGTCAAGAAGCCCCTGTCCTAGGACTGGAATGGAGCATTGTATCTGCTTCATGCATTGCAAAACCACCAGTAGTCTTCCAGAGCAGCATGCCCATTGCTCAGCTCTCTGGCAGAGCAGTTTGGAATGTCTGACATTATTGCCAGCTCCTGCCATGTGCTCTTCAGTGAAGTAGTGTTGGATGGTGGTTGGAGCAGGGCAGTGCCGTGTGTGTCAGGCACATTGGGGTGGGTTTTTTGGACACTTTCTGAAAACAGGTCTTATTCCTAAACAATGCAAGACGAATCCTTTCACTGAGGATGCCGGGTGTGCCTGTTACATGTGAGTATACATCTGGCAGCACTGCACTGTGCACATGGAGCATCCAGGTAAGGAGTTTCGTATCTAGAGAATGACTTCCCAAGTTTAATCTTATTTCTCTTTTTCTTCCTCTCCCTTGTTTTCCTTTCTCATGTTACCCATCTCCTTCTGTTCCATACTGATGAGCAGGACTGCGTGTTTTCTTCTTTGCCTGTAGCCTCCTAAATGTATTTTCCCCCTGCTGGGAGCTCCTGCCTGCGTGCAGCCTGCTGAAGGCTCTGCTGATTCACAGCTCTCCGGGTGAGGAGGGAGCTGACGGATGGATCACGCTGCAGCCTCCAGAGCTGCCAGGCAGCAGTCGCAGTCCCCTTGGCAATTCCCTTCTTGTCACAGAGCACGTCTCAGTTTCCCCTGTGGAGCTGCTAACCTCTTTAAGGAGCAACGTGACCCATGTGGGGCTGATGACGTGTGGTTAGTAAGGAACCATTTTGCCGCGTTCTGAGGAGCTTTGGCGTAAGCAAGCAGATGAGATGGGAGGAGAAAAATGAGCTTTGTGATGCAGGAGCAAAGCAGGTATGTTCATGACTGGTACAGCAAAGGGATGGCAACGGCAGTGTCTGCTGAAAGCTATCCTGTAGTGCCGTTCCTGTGGCTGGGAGGCAAGGAGTGTTGCTTAGTGTGACATTTAGCTGGCACTTCTAGTGCATTGGGAGTATTAGTCACATTCTGGCTTCAGCAGTGGGAGGTGATGATAAAAGTTGCCTTCCTCAGAAAAGTCTCTCCCTGCTGTAGCAAACCATTTGGGATGCTGGAAGGATATTCTGTTTACTCTCCATACCTGATCTTTTGTACAAAAGGCACCTTGAATAGGCTTGGCTCAGCTTGAAGCCTGTATGCCAGTCTCTGCTGGGGAAGGAGGAGCTGCCTTGTTGGCAGTGGCCTGCGTTTATGCAGAGCTAGTCACTGAGTAACCACAGCCTCTGCTGCGAATGACGTGGCTTAAGAGTGATGCACTTTCCATGGGATAAAAATCCTCATTATGGTTTCCTTTGTGGAAATATTTGTGTCTTCTCTGCCAGCCCAGAGTCAGGGCTGCATGGAGCCTGAACTAGTGCCTCTTTCTACAGGATGAACCGCACCATGCTGTACTTCTGTAGCCCCACATTTCTCCTCGTGCCTGCTGGGGGATGTTGGTTTTGGGGCGAGCAGCAAGCATCATGTCTGTAAAACATTGGGATTCACATGCCCTCCTGGGCCAGTGCTTTGTGCTGCTTGGTACACGTGGTATGGGGGGAAGTGAGAACAGAGGGGAAAACCTCTTGCTTTGCGCTATGAGAGTCTGCTAGTGTCCACAGGAGCACGCGCACACGTTGCAAAGGACTCTGTGAGCACGTGTCCTTAGAGATGCAAAGAAATGCAACCTACTTCCTCTGCCCTTCCTCTCCCAGCTTGGCATGCCGGCAAGCAGACACTGAGCTCCGAGGAAGGCTCCTCTCTGGTGATGGCAGAGGTGAGGGTCTGGTTCCTCTGGACTGGGGGGCAGGAGCCTTTCTGAGGCTAACCCAGCTTCTCTGGGATTGTGGCCTTCCTGCCACAGCTGGCTGCCCCAGAGCAGTGGGTGTCAGCCTGCAGCTCACGATGTGCCTAGCACTGCAATGAGGGAGGCAGAGAAGGCCAAACCAGGTGGCCCTTTTGAGAGAGGATCCTGTTTCTGTCTTTGCAGCCAGGGCTTTTTGCATGTTAGCCACTTAGGATACGAGCTGCAGTGCTTGGATGCTGCTCCTCCCAAAGCCTTGTCAAGGCAAGTACCTTCCCCTCTTGTGCAGCTATTATGAAAGAGCCTCCGTTTGCTGCACCCTTCTCTCCCTTTGCCCTCAGGGCACACTGGGCTTGTTTGAATTAATGTAATTAGCACATGCCTTATTAGCTCACTAAGGCACAAAGAACTCATGTATATTTGTAGCCAGGTTAAGCACCCCCTATTAATTTAATAACCGTGTCCTCCTCACTGAATGGCAACAGTTAATCGTTGGCGGTGACTCAGGATCAGGCAGCATTGAGGGAATCTGGGCAAGGTGTTGGTACGTGCGGTTCTCTTTTATTGAATTGTATTTTTATTAATGAGCAGAGCTGTGAAGGGAATTAGCAGCAGGCGCGGTAGTTGGAGGGAAGCTTTTGGTGCAGGTTTGCTAAACAGCCAGCGCTGTTTCCTATGCTGTGTCAGGAAGCACCAATAGAATGAATCAGCATGATGTGACAACAGCACTCAGAGCAGAGGTGTGGGTATCCTGCTTACTCTCCCTCCCCCTTGTTACTTAGCTCATTTGGAGCTTCTCCACCTTGCCACGGGTCGGTAACTTTGGGCTATCAAGGCCTGAACTGTTCACTGTCACCATGAGCTCGTGCAGGAGCATCACTCAAGTAATCAGGCTGTTACAGCACGATGGGTAAGAAGACCCCATGAAATTGAGCAGAGGTGTGTGTGTGTGTGCTTGCAGTAATGCTCTCTGCACACACTCTGTTCAACACCTATGCGGTGTAGGGGAAACTTAAACTTGGATTTGTGTTTTGGTTTTCTTTTTCTTTGTCAAAAGAAAAATAATTTGTCTGTTTTCTCCCGTGTAAAGGAAAAACCTTGGGTCTGGCCACCATGGCAAGGTCTACCAGTCTGGGTGAGCTGGCGCCATCCCAAGAGAACTCACTTCAAGGCATCAGACAGGAACAGCTCTGTGGGTGTTTAGGTGCCATGATTTGGCTGGAAATGATGCTTGTTCTTCCCAGCAGGGCTGCTGAAGCCCTGTTTCTTCAGTGGAGAGCAATATGCTGCGAGCCAAGACCCTAGTTTTGTTGCTGATGGAGAATGAATGAGCTCTTTCACACTCAAGGACCTCAGTTCAGCCCTGTGTGCCTTGTTCCTATCGAACAAGCTTGGATCCAATCCTCATTTTCCCCAGGGCTCCTTGGTAGCTTTTAGCTACTGCTTTGCACATGGTGATTATTTTAAATTTAGGGGGGGTGAGCCTTTTTTTCTACTTTTTCAATCCTTTGGCAGAGCACCCGAGTGAGGGCTTCACGACATTTCATTTCCCAGCTAGCAGTGAGTCCTTCCAGATCAAAGGGTTGGTCTGTCTGTCGCCATCACACTTTTGTTCTGCCTTTTTTTTTTTAGGACAAGGCCACCACAGAGTAGAGAAAAGGACAGATTTTATACAAATTCTTGCTTGTTTTCCCATCTGTGTCTCCGGTCTTCCACACTCCAGTTTTTCAGTTAATTTGTCCTCTTTCTCCAGCTAATGCTTCATCTCTCTGAAGCTGCAATTCCATAAAAGTGAGCCTGGAGAGCCGATCCAGAGTAAAGATGGGTTTAAAATCATTTTGAGTCACACCAATTCAGTGTGTGACTACATGATTTCTCAGCAGCGTTTGGAAGGAGGATTGCTGGCAATAAGCAGACACTTGTGTCATCCACAATGTCCGAGCTGTGAACTTACTTGAATACCAGCACGGTCATGTCTGGACTGCCTTCCTGTCTGTCAGTTAGCTTATGCTTCCAGCTGCAAAGCAACGTGGGCCACTGTAAACTTCATTTCAACAATCATTCTCTCTAGAAGCTTGCACACAGATTGTTCATTGTGTTTGCATATGAGTCAGTTGTTCTCTAGCTATTTCTTACAGATCCCTGTGAATCTGTGCATGGATATGCAGGTCTATGCAGAGCACACCCTGGAGCCTACCACTGCTTTAGAGCAAGATCCCAGGCCTGGATTGCTGCTGCAGTGCTATGGCCTTGTATCACCATGGCACTGAAGATGTTACAGTAAGAGATGCGTGGAAAGGGGTTTTGGTCCTCTGGTTTCTGTACTGCTTTGTTACTGTTCCTATAGAAGACATGGAGAGGTAGCACCAAGTTTGCCTTCGTTACTTCCTTATAAGCACGTTTTAATATCTTGCCTCCTGCTGCTCTCAGAGATGGCTGCCAGCTCATTTGCCCTGCTGAAGCCTGCCCTGCCATTCCATCAGCTTGGCAGCCCCAATCCCTTGGACAGCAGGACTTGCTGTGTGAGCACTGGCTGAGTCACTGCTGGTCATGCTGTCCTTGTTCATCCCATCATACAGTTCAGCTGCAAAGCCTCCAGGACAGGGATTGTCCTTGACTAAAGGTTTGCACAGCTTCTACAATACTGAGTCCCAGCTCAGTGCTAGGACCTCTTGGTGTGCTGCAGTACTGCAGTTCAGCGCTGCATCGCAGTAAGCCCTGCTCTGAGTGTCAGCTTTCAGTCTCTGGATCTGGGGTGGTTTCCCAAGACATGCAAAGCTTGAAGGGCGTATCTAGCTTTTGTTCCAGGTTGGCTCAGGCCTGCTCCTCAGGTTTGTCTGACTTGAATGCAGATGTCCTGGCACTGTGTGATTGCCTGGCTGCTCTCTTCAGGTCCTTCTGCCTGGTAGGGTGTGCTCTGATGGGTGGTGGAGCTTTGTGCCATGGTAGAGGAGTGATTCTCCCTACCACCTTGCAATGCATCAGGCACCATGCCATCAGGCCTGTCCTCGGTGGAGTGCTGGGGCCAATGAGGCGGGCAGGCAGCCTGGCACCTCCCCACAGGGACTTTGGCCCGATTTCACCTGAGCTGCAGGGTCCTGCTCCAGGCTGCTTCCAAGGTTCAGCGTGGGTGCACAAGGCTGGTTGTGGGCTCCCTCCTGGCTGCGAGGTGAGTGTTTCAGTGTGCAGCTGCAGTGCTGGGGCTTCTGCTTGCCTGTGGGCACTGTGAGACTAAGGGGATGCTCTGCTCCTCTGTGCTTCCAGAGGAGTGTGGATGCCTCACAGTGGGGATACTTCCTGATCCTTGATGGTGATCAGTAGCATTGCTGTCTCCTCTACAAAGTGGGTGCTGGCACAACTTTGCTCCTTTCTCTTACCCTATGAGCCTGTTTCTTGGTTTCTGGCTGGAGCACTGAGTTTGTCTGCTCTCAAGACAAATGGAAATATGTGGAAGGGAGTCCTGTTTTCCCCTTCTGCTGTTTGTTTTCAAGTCAAGGTTGCAGTTTGAATGTTTGCTTTCAGTGACAGCTTCAGCATGTGCTGGCCTTGAGTTCTGTCATCGCTGCCTGACCATTCTGCACAAATGTTAGCGCTGGCACGAAAGTGGGGATGGGAACACGTGTGGCATGGGGAGAGGACAGGGTTTCTTCCTATGGCAACAGTGCCAGCAACGTTGGCTAAAGGTCTTCTGTCAAGGCAGCGGCTGTATGTACTCACATAAATCAGCACTTTTCAGCCTGGCAGAGGGAGAGCAGGACAGGACAGAGAGTGTAGAGTGGTGGGATCCCTTGGGTCACACATCACAGGTTTGGGATAAAACAGAGAGCCTAACACGCTGCCCCACTTCCTCACTTTGCTGTAGCACATAGCACACACTGTGAGGCTGCAGGCATCCCTCCTTGCCTGAGGTTGCCCTGGGATTCCTGTAATTACTATATAATTATGTGGTGTTCTCCAGAGTAAGCACTTTTCCCTTGGGCGATAAGGTGAGGAGAAGCAAAGGTTTGAAGTCCAGCCCTGTGCAGCAGGTCTGAGGCGTTCAGAGTTGGCCAGCCTGGAGGAAACCTTATAGGAAAGCTCACAGGTGAGTGTGGGGTACGTAGCAAGAAAAGAGAGGAGAATGATATCATTTTTCCAGGGCCAGAAGCTGTGAGGATCAGATGTATCCCAAGCTAGGTTTGTGGAGAACTACCCCTAACTTGGCTGCTCCATCACTCTCTGGAGCTGGTTTTTGGAAGCTGGGTGAGGAGAGGAGCTGAATGGAGGGAGGTTCCTGGGCTGCCTACATGAGGCAGTGTGGGCTGTGGTGGTGCTTCTCTGCCGAGCACAGAGGTGCTTCCTTGTGCTGCAGTGTGCATGTCACTCTAAAACTAATTTGCTCGATCATTTTAATAAATGCAGAAGGGATGTCCTGGTGTGCGAGTAATGGGGCATTAATCCATGCCTAGCTGCGTTAACAGCATTCTAGGAAGAAATTAACACCACATAATTCATCGCCTGTGCAGCTCTCACTCTCTTAATTATGGCATGTGCAATTTAGGAACCCCCTTCTACTTGAAGGCTCTCTCTCATGGCTCAGTTCCTGCTGCCACCAGTTTCCCCTGTTACTTGTGCTTTGGAGGTTCCCAGTCCTGGAGATGCTATTGTCCTCACAGCCATTGAGCTCAGCTGAGACCTTCCAGGATGAGAGCAAGCCTGGGGTACTGCTGGCTTCCCCTGCTATGCTGTAAGGGCAGTGGTGGGTACAAGCCCTTTTCCCTGACCTTGGAGCCACGCGCTTGCTTGTACGCAAGTACACAAAACATAGCAAAACTGCTATGGTTTGTGTTATTTGGCTGCAAAGAACATTGTGCTCCTGGAGTGATAAAGCTTAGACCTCCACTACTAATGTATACAAGTATAATGTTGTTTTGGGTTTCTTTTAAAAATAGAAGATTTTGAGCATTCTTTTTCCAGTTTCTAACTGCAGCAGTTGTTTTTCTGCTGTGGGAGGAACTGGGCTCTGCTTCTCCCTGCAGTCTTCAATGGGGCACCGTGGGCTTCATCCCATACCCCCTTTTAAAAGCCTTATGGAATTCTGGAGTGCTCAGGTAGATTTTGCAGTTGAGTTTGTTTTGCAAATGGTCATTTGCTGGAGCTCTGTTTAAGCAAACAGAGCTCAAACAAGCTTTCCACCTCAGTGCATTAAAATCCCGTAATGCATTAAAATCTCCTGGCTGTGAGCACTGGGGCCTCTGCTGTGCCAGGTGCTGTACAAACAGTTATCAAATGCTAAATGATCACATCTTCTGGTTGAGTAGCTTTTGTGAGGGCAGAGGATGCAGTAGAGGCTTGTGGCTATACAGCCTGTGTGGGTCTCGGTTCACCAGGGATCGTGGTACCTCTTCCCTCTTCTGAAACCAGGAGAGTTGCTTTTAACCCAGCAGGAACACTGCTGGTGGGATGGATGGACAGTGAAGGCTTTGCAGTCTGTGCAGACAGGGGGCTGACACCAAGAGGTTGCACAGAAGGAAGGGATTAGACAGCAAGTAAGAAGCTCATTATCAGCCTTGCTGTTTGCTCTTGGGGTGCCCTTTGCAACATGGACTCCTGGGGAGCAGGGCAGCACACAGGAAGTGTGCCTGAGCTTGAAATGAGGTGTCAGGAGCATGCAGTGTGTGTGTTTTGTCAGAGCTGCTGCTTCAAGGAACACAAACATCCTGTTGAGGCTGTAGATGTTATCATGAGAGCTTTCCTGGTACAGGGCTTGTCCATGCTGGGATAACAGGCTGTCAGCAGTAGCTGGCCTCTCTGCTTTGTTTTTGTATTTTGGTCTTGTTCTGGATAAATTGATAGGGAAATAGATTAAACTAAGCCAAAACAAACTACTCTTTTGGATGTGAGCTGTGTTGAGAGTGAAATTCTATGAAGCTTAGAGATCATATTTGCAATCAAGGGGCAAATTTCCATTCCTGATGGAAAGGAAAAGGAAATTTCCTCTGCTTTGGTCTCACCACCCAGGTAGCAACTAGAAGGGGAGAGGGAGAAGAGTGGCTGAGTGATGCTGAGATGCCTCACGACAAGCATGGCATCTTGCAATGACATTTGTTTGTCTTGGAATGCAGACCTGTAGGGGGCTGGGTCTGGAGATGCTGATGGTTTGGAAGGGCAGTGTTGGGTACCGCTGTCCTGGTGCCTGGCAGAGCTTGTGCATTGGCATCCAGAACAGCGGTACCCAAGGTTGCTCACGTGCTCCTGGAGCATGACAGCTCTGGCAGCTCTTCCTTCCATTTGTGCATCTATATTTGTATATACACAGACATATTTATAAGGCTCCCTCGGGAGCTCAGTCAGCAGCTCAGACTCCTCTATCAGAGGAGACCGGGTGCTCTCTTAAGTCACTTCTTCTTCTGCCTGTCTCACCCTGCAGGCTGCCCAGCAAGAGTGTAAGTGCCCAGTTATCAACTTCATCTCCTTGGTGTCTCTCTCCTTTCCCAGGAAGAAGCTAAACTGGAAAAGGAGTGACTGAAGAAGTAGTTGAGGAACTGTCTGAAGGAGCAAATCCGTTTCTTAACAAGATCAAGTTGGAATTAAATGGCTGATAAACAGATCAGGTAACTTTAAAAAAAAAAATTAGTTGTGCTTTGAATTTTTCTCTGTAAGTCTTTCCAACTCAATCCCTTCTGTGATACGGCAGGTTGGAGACAATCACCTGAGCTTCTCTTCTGGCCATAAAGAGCTTTGATTCTTTTGCTGCTCCTTTCTTACCTATTTTATATGGTCTTTTCTTATTTTGTGTCTTTGTCATGTTGTTGCAGTCTCTGCTTTGTTCTTTTTTCTCACTTCTATCTGCCCTCTGCTTTTGACCCTATGTGAGTCCATTGCTTTTTGCTTCCTCTTTTAAAGGTCACCTTGACCTGGTGTTTGATAGCTTCAAGGGAACAAAGCTGGCTCCTTGGCCAACCAGGAGTCTATTGCTTGTAATTACAAAGTCCATGTAGATGCAAACTTGTGCCCTTCTTCTTTAGCTCTTGAATGCTTGAGTGATTTCAGGAACACGGAGTGCCAACAATAATTGGTAACTCTTAAGTGCACAGTGGGAACTGAAGAGCATTGGCCCTGGCATATGCAGAGGCTAATTCGAGTCCTCTCTGGAAATGACTTGGGATGTGTTTTCTCAGAAGGCACCACTGTCCTCTTAGCTTCCTAAGATCTATGCCAAATGGATCTGTCCAGTACTACATTTACGTTTAACTTTTTGCTGTTTGTAATGTTGCTTGAGATGAATGACTCCTATGTGCCATTTATTTGTGTGGCCCTTCTCTGACACCTGCCTTTCCAGATTGCCAGCTCAAGACAGGAGGTAAGCAGTTAGCCTGGATCACTGGGTGAATGAAACATGGACCAGAATTTGGCAACGTCTGAATGCTTCCTCTTCTTAGTATTTGCCATGATCACAATATCTTCCTGCCCTCCTTCCTTCTGCAAGTGAGAGAGTTCTGAGCTGCACTGATAACAAGACAGCATTGCAGAGTGTCTATATGCCCAGATTGGCCTGTCATCAGTTATCCAATTTGGAAAGCACTTGGCATTCTTCTGTCACATTAATGAAAGGCATGCTGAGATTCACCTTTGTGAAGCCTGGCGGGTGCGTGTCCCTGATAGCCTTAGCAGAGCTTAGGGAACAGATGTCTGTGGCCCCTTGAAACCTGGCATTCAAGGAAGGGAAGATGTCTCCTTGAGACCTCCTCCAGCCCTTTTTAAGCCCTCTTGGCAGTGTGAACAGGAGCTGCTAGAAGGACTGGGGAAGAGCATTAGTAAAACTGGAATGTCTTTTTACTCATTTTAATGTAAAACCTAGCAAGTGGCTTTATTTGTATGCTAGCCTGTATCGGCCCCATTTCACTAAGCACTGTACTGTGGGCTGTGAGAGGCAGGTACTGTGCAGAATAGGAGAGAGCACTGTGTGTTCTCATCCTGTGAGAACAGAAAGTACCAAGCTAGGACGTGGGGTGGCTTAGTCATGAAGGAAAAGTTTTTGTTTCAGGTGCAGTGCCCAGTTCCATCTGTTCCTTGGTTTCAGGTTCCTCCCTCTGCCCCGATTCCTTCACCATATCCCACTTAGGTCATTCTTCCCATCTCTGGAACCATGACAATGCAGTGGTCACTAGCCAAGCAAGGAGATCTGTTGAAGCTTGAAGGATACACTGTACACTTCTTCCCTTGCGACACAGGTCTGTCAACCCTTAGCAAAATGAGACTGATAGCAAAAGACTAAAATCCACAGCAGCAGTCTGCTGCAAGGTGAGATCAAGGGCATTGCATTTCTGAAATTGTACATGTGTAACTTTATCTAAATGTTTCACCAGAGACCATTGCACTGTCTGTACTAGTTTCCTTCTGCAGTGCTCAGGGGTCCCTGAATACCTGGATTCAGATGCAGTGGGAGTGTTCAGCAAGGATTTCCCACCTGCAGATAAGGCAAGACGTCTTCTGCAGCCCACACTGCTCCAATTTTTTGGCTTGCCTGGACTCATCAGGCTGTTCCCTGGGGTCTATGCTGAAATCAGTGATTCATGGGCAAGATGCTTGCCACGTGCCTGTGCCTCACTCCCACCTGATGTAAACCCTGAGGTGATTTCACGGTTGGAACAGCTTGTGAGAGGCAAGTGTCTGCCTGCTCTGGGTGTCTCAGAGACACTTAAAGAAGTGGTGACAGAGCTGAGGCTGCACAATGCATGGCTGGCATTTGCAGCCTGCCAGCAGTGATTCAGAGCTGAACGTGGGGAGGCTGATATGGTCCAGTCTTATAATACAGTGGAACCTCCATCTTGACACACAAGTATTGCTCTACCCTCAGCATTCATTGTCTCAGTGGGTTAGGTGAGGAGTACACCATGAGGCGTATTTACTGTCTGAAATTTCCCTGTGTCCTGAGGCATGAGTTTGCAGGCACTGCTATTCCCTCTCTGACTGTGATGCTAGGATCCCTGAGGCAGCAGAGTCTCGAGGTCTTGCAGTCTGGCCCAGCTGTATGCTCATGCTTGGCTGCTGTCTGCCATCACTTTAATATCTAACACATCCTGTGTTCAGGGAACCATGTCCCCTGCTTTATTGGAGAGAGCTGACTCCAACAGGCTTCCTTTGTCTCAGTGTATAGTGGTTTATTGAGCATGTAAGTACTGGGCATTTTGAGTAATTGAATTTGCTGGGAACTCGTGTTTAGCTGCTCTGGTGTTCAATCAGTGCTGCTTCTAGATTCCAGGAATTCCCTCTGGGAACAGAAGGATGAGTGGAAAAAGCCCCACAGTTTTGAAGCACGCTCAGCCAACAGGTTTTGGTGTCACTGAGAAGTACGAGCTCATGTCTCTGTGCCGCGTGTTGCTCTGCCAGCCCACTGAGCCACGTGGCTGCCAGTGTTCTGCTGGGCTCACGTGTCTTTTCCCCCAGCAGTGGGTCCGGAAATGGCTTTGTGGATCTGTAGCTGGCTGCGCTTCTGCCATGCTCTGTCCCACGTAACAGGAGCAGGTGACATGCCACAAACCTCTCATTAGGTGTGTATCTGATTACAGCACTGGGAACCACTTGCCAGCAAACCTGCTGCCTTGAATGCCAGCCGGCCCTGACCAAAGTCTGTCTGCACAGAGCACTCGATGCAAAGCAGGTCCTTGTCAGCAGTGGTTTGTCCTGGTGCTGTGTGCTGCCTTTCCCTCCTACCCCATATGTACAGCAAGGGCTGAGCTTTGCCTTGCGGCAGAGCTCTCTGCATGCTTGGGGTGGACAGCCTTATCACACAGTGACATGCTAATTGCCTGGTTGCACTGATGCACATTCGTTCTTCTCTCCCTCCCCTGGAGTTATCCCAGGACTAAGACATCTGCTTCTTGTCTCCTTACAGTTTACCTGCCAAGCTGATCAATGGAGGGATAGCTGGGCTGATTGGGGTCACCTGTGTATTTCCCATTGACTTGGCAAAAACTCGCCTGCAGAACCAGCAGAATGGCCAGCGGATGTACACCAGCATGTGAGTACACTGTGCACAGGCAGCTTGCCACTGGGCTTTCAGCAGGGCATCCTTCTACGTTGTTACTTCTTTCAGGTGAGCTCAGCATTTCCAGGAACTGATTGTCCCCAAGAAAGCCAGGGGACAATCTCAAAGCAAGCTGTGCTAAAACAAGCAAAGTGTCTGTTCTGGCTGCTGAGCCCAGCAGGTGAGATCTGCTGAGGGTGCATCTGTTTGTGTCCCTTTCTTGGGAGCAGTGTGTTCTCTGCTCATCAGCACTGGTCAAAAGGGCAGGGAGGGCTCAGCAGAGAAAGCCTGGTTTGTTTCTCTTCTAAGCCACAACCAAGCACTTGGGAAAATCTCTGGCTCTTTCATTTCCCTCACTGTCATACTGGAGGTAACAACCTCTTCCTTTGCTGCGTGCTTTAAAAAGGGCACAATCACCTATTCCTGCTCTTGAGCACTGCAGTGCAGTCCTTCTGAAACATCACAGGTTGACACACACTGTAGTTTCCCATCAGTCCTTTGTCCAAGAAATTGTGCTGTGAGCGTTAGGAAGGGAAGGCACAAGTGTATATCCAGCCCTCCTGTGCTTTGCGTGTCTGTTGTGGGAACACGAGCTGTACTTAGCATGAGATGCTTTCTCTTACAATACAGAGACAAGCCTTAGTTTTTTTAAAAAATTCTGTATTGTTGACGGGCAAAAGAGGGCTGGGACTGAAGGCAGTGTGTGTGTCCTGTACTCCTGCTTCTTTGTTCAGAAGCTGTGCTGCCTGCTTCCTGCTCTTCCACACTGGTTATACTTCACATCCCTGCCCAGGTGAATTTGGAGCACAGGGGGAATAGGAAGGAAGCGTTGTGTTGAGTGTTTCAGTCTCTGGCCCTCCTTGCTCTAGCTGCTGATGTGTAATTATGTGTGAACTTGGTTGTAGGCAACAAGCACCAGACTGGTGCCCCCCTTGACAGTTACAGCGCTCTCTGCTCCCTGTGCTGTCAGGATGCAGCCTCATGTCTCGCCTTGCCTCTCGTTCCTTCTGTGTCCGGCACCCTGAGTTGCTGGCTGGTGGCAGGCAGCAGCAACTGAAGAGCCTCAAGCCCACGGCATTGAGAAGAATCAGAATCACAGAATCGCAGAATCATAGGGGTTGGAAGAGACTTCCAGAGGTCATTGAGTCCAACCCCCCTGCCAAAGCAGGTTCCCTACACCAGGTCGCACAAGTAGGTGTGCAGGCAGGTCTTGAACATCTCCAGAGAAGGAGACTCCACCACCTCCCTGGGCAGCCTGTTCCAGTGCTCCGTCACCTCACTGTAAAGAAGTTCTTGCGCACATTTGTGCGGAACTTCCTATGCTGCAGTTTCTGGCTGTTTCCCCTTGTCCTGTCTCCACACACTGCAGAAAAGAGTCCAGCCTCGCCACTCTGCCCCCACACCTTAGATATTTATAGACCTGGATCAGGCTACCTCTGTCTTCTTTTCTCAAGGCTGAACAGACCCAGTTCACTCAGCCTTTCCTCATAGCAGAGATGCTCCAGGCCCTTCACCATCTCTGTGGCCCTCTGCTGGACTCTTTCCAAGAGATTCCTGTCTTTTTTGTACTGGGGAGCCCAGAACTGGACGCAGTGCTCCAGATGAGGCTTTACCAGGGCAGAGTAGAGGGGGAGGATCACCTTCCTCGACCTGCTGGCCACGCTCTTTTTAATGCACCCCAGGATGCCATTGGCCTTTTTTTGGCCACAAGGGCACACTGCTGGCTCATGGCCAACCTGTTGTCCACCAGGACACCCAGTTCCCTCTCCACAGAGCTCCTCCAACAGGTCACCCAACCTGTACTGAAGCCTGCAATTATTCCTCCCTAGATGCAAGACTCTACACTTGCTTTTGTTAAACCTCATCTGCTTTCTTACTGCCCAGCTCTCCAGCCTGTCCAGGTCTCGCTGAATGGCAGCGCAGCCTTCGGGCGTGTCAGCCAATCCTCCCAACTTCATACCATCAGCAAACTTGCTGAAGGTGGCCACTATCCCCTCATCAAGGTCATTGATGAAGATGTTGAACAAGACCGGACCCAGCACTGACCCCTGAGGAACACCGACAGTTAAGGTCTCCATCTGGACTCTGCACCACCAACGACGACCCTCTGTGCTCTGCCAGTCAGCCAGTTCTCAATCCACCTCACTGTCCACTCATCTATCCCACACTTCCTCAGCTTTGTTATAAGGATGTCGTGGGAGACAGTATCAAATGCTTTGCTGAAATCAAGGTAGACTACATCCACTGCTCTCCCCCCATCCACCCAGCCAGAGACAACATTGTAGAAGGCCATCAGGTTGGTCAAGCACAAACTCCCCATGGTGAACCCGTGCTGACTACTCCTGATAACCTCCTTTTCTTCCAGCTGTCTGGAGGTGGCATCCAGCACAAGCTGTTCCATCACCTTTCCAGGGACAGAGGCGAGGCTGACTGGCCTGTAATTGCCTGGATCTTCCTTCCTGTCCTTTTTGAAGACCAGAGTGACATTGGCTATCCTCCAGTCTTCAGGCACCTCCCCCATTCTCCAAGACCTCTCAAAGATGACAGAGAGTGGTTCAGCAATCACCTCTGCCAGCTCCCTCAGCATCCCATCGGGTAAGGCAGTCTTCAAGCATGAAGCGACCGCCTCCCTTAGAAAAGCTTGGAGGTTGTCCCTCCACCTCATTCTCAGCCACCTTACCCTCCAGTTTCAGGGCTTCAAACCTATTATATAGAGGCACCTGAGGAACTGAGGTAGGTTGGGATGTGTGCTGCCTGCGTTGCTGAGGTGGGACCTGCTGCCATTCCTCCTCTCTTTTCAAGTTGGCTCTCTTGGTTTGACCACGGCAAGGGAGAGGGAGAGCAGGATGGAGGATTTGTAGGCACCAACCTGGGAGCAAATGGCAGCATGCCGTAGCTCTGGAGGGGCTCAAGAGGAGAGAAACTTTTAATCCCCAGCAGCCAGCTGCAGATCTGCTCTGTAACCGTGGTCGACTGGGAGATGAAACACTGTTAAGGAATCAATGGATTTACCTCGTGTATCTGAGCTGACTCCTTTCAAGACAAAGCCTGAATGTGAATGAGTAGCGTGGAAGACATTGCTCTGGCATGTGAAAAGTGAGCTTGAACCAGTGGGAATAAGAGTCTTCTGGGGGCCCAGAGGCCAGCAAGAACAAGGAACTAACAGGGATAACACATCCAGATAACATCAGGCTGTCCAGTGTACTGCCTTGACAAGCAAGGGAATGGAACTGAGAGGATGCTGTTCCAAGCGTGTAGTGTGTCCTCAGCAATACCCTTAAGATAGGTGCATACTGGGAGGGCTTATCTATGCTCCCCAGCTATAGGGGCTTGTTTTTCAGGAAATACTGCATGCCCTTTGATACCAGATCTCAGAAGTGTCTGCTGAGCCCCCAGGAAGCCAAAGAATTCATTTAAAACTTCAGCTTTTTCATTTTAAGACAGCGTGTGTTGCTTCTGAGGGGAGTGTAGGATGATTTGATTGGAAAAATTATGTAAATCTTGCCTGGTGAGAGCCAAAGATGCTTTGAAGCAGGCCTGGAGTATGGAAAGAACTGGGTTTTTGACTGTGTGCCCCATGCACTGTTCTGCATAATTTTAGCTGTGGCTCCTGGCACCCTTCTTCAGAGCAAAGGAAATAAGGCAGGCATGGCCTTGGCTTCACTGCTTTTGCAGCAGCACGAGGGGTGGGGAGCGAGGTACAGGGCTCACAGTGATGCAGCAGGGCTGTATGAGCTTGGTGTGGAGGCAGCTCTTCCCACTCCTCTCTGCTCTGGCTTGTTCAGCAGCGCTGATGACTTAGGGAAGATGCCTTGTCTCCAGCATCACATTGGAAGAGCTTGATGAGGATATGGAAGAAGAACAGTGTCCAAAGGGGTGGAGGAGTCATGGCACAGGGGCATAGAAAAGCAGAGAGGCTCACTGCCTTGGCTTGGCTGCACTACAGGTGGGCTGTTTGCAAATGTATTACCCTAAAAACCACCTTGGCCAAAGAAGGCAAAAAGACCTCAAGAGAAGCCTGCATTTCCTTCTCTCCCACCTCAGCACTACTGCAGAGCAGATGTGAAGCTTCCTCTTTATGTTGCCCAGTCTCTCAGAAACATATTCCCATTTTCAACTACATTTCCCTTATCACTGCTTTAAAGAGCCTTTTCCTCCTTGCATGCACACTTCTCCCTTCCAGCACAGCCACAGCGAGCACCTGCCCCTTCCTAGAGACTTCAGAGCAACCTTCAGCCAGCAGCTGAGTTTGTGCTTCCTGAACTGTGCGTGTGTGTACAAAGCTTTTAGATCTGAAGGAAATGCAGCGAAAACAAAGGAAGTGACAGCTTTCTGTCAGGAGCTGACCTCAGTGGCACTCGATGCTGCCTCCTCAGGCTTGAGCTCTAGCGCTGCTGCTGCTGCTGCTGGGGGAGGCAGAGTGTTAAAAGTCAGCGCTGGGAGCTGAGTGGGAGGCCACAGATGACTGAGCGCTCAGGTCACCTCGTGTTTGTGTGCCTTGTGTCAAATTTCATGGAGTAAGTCGAGCGTTGGGCGGGTTAGACCCCCCTCCTTGCTCCCTTTCCAGAGCTGGATTTAAAAGTATGTGCACGAGGAGCTGATTGTTGGAGCATCGCATACGCATTCTCCACTGGGGACCCTGGATAAACAGCCCTCGCAGTGACATTTTTCCCTTTTGTGTTTCTAGAAAGCAGACAGCATGCGTGGGGCAAGCCGGGGGTTTCAAAGCCCCTGTGAATTAGGGGCTGAAGTTGGACTCAGCCGGAACAATGGCGCATTCAGCGGCTGACGTTGTTCCCCTCCCGGCTCGGGGTTTTGCTGACATTGTAAATGAAAACCACTCCAGGAGATTAGTTTTGTTTGCTCTGCTCCCACCCACCTTTGAGCTGCTGTGGTTTATCTCTCTCTGTTTTGTTCGCAGGTCTGACTGCCTCATTAAAACTATTCGTTCGGAAGGCTACTTTGGCATGTACAGAGGTAAGAAGGGCTGAGGCAGGCTCCTCTAGCTCTGTATGGCTTTGCTCTGCAAGCACTGGTGTGTATGTGTGGGAGGAGAAGCCTGTATTCTCTGGCTTGTAGTGCAATACCGTAGCAATACCCACAGATGTTGACACCTGCAGCTGTGTGTGAAAGTAGACTGCTCCATGCCAGATGTCTGCTCAGCAATCCACCATCTGGGACTGGAGTCCTCCCACGCCTATTCTGGTGTTAAATTATTCACCAAAGGTCATCTTTACTTGCAGTTTACATGGAGCTACTGTCCCAGGACTGCAGGTGTGCACTTCCCAACCTTGGGCACCATAGCTTTCATCAGAGCGGTAGTTGCAAAGGTCTCAAAGTGTCTTACTTTGTTGTTGCTAATTGAATTTATGTCAGAGCCTGTGCCAATGGGATCAGGCCTGTTTGGAGCTGTAAAAAAAAAAGGATGGTTCATGATGGAACTCCAGCTGTTCTGACACTATGTGCTAGCCTTCTAGAAGTCTCCTGGCTCTGTGGTTTAGGCTGTCCATTGTAGCAGTGAGTTCTGTTGATACTTTTTCTAGTTTTAATGCAGAATTCTTGAAAGTTTCTAAACATTTTGGAGAGAATTGCAGGCTAAATTCTGATTTCAATCATAGTAAAGGAAAACATGGAATTTATAGCCTTGGCTGTCAACACAGTCCAGCTGGCATAGTTGATGCTGAACTCTAGTTCACGTTACATACTGGTAATCAATTGCCTGAATGCGCAGTTTTTATCTCTGAGATAAATAGTGTGTTCAGATAGCGTTCTTTGTGACGCTCATTCACTGATAAAGCCTCATTAAAGGACAGCATTGTTTAAATGAGTCCTTGCTTCTTTCTCAAGCAAGAGTCTGGAGATGCTGGCTCCTTGCTGTTGGCAGAGGCAGCAGCTCCTGCCAATCCCTCCATAGTTCCTAAGGAAGCACAGTCTCTGTGGCCATCCATTGTTGGAACAACAGCTGGCTGCCAAGGCGGTGTCTCTTGCCAAACTTGCTGGTGGGCGTTTTGGGGGAGTGAGGTGGACGCTGGGGATGGATTGGCTGCTTTATTTCAGCTCTTCTGGGAGCAGGCAACAGGGCAAATAACCCTGAGGAATCCTGGCAAGCTCCATGCTCAGTGCTAGCAGCAATGTGTTCCCCTTGCCTTTTTCCACAAGATCCTCCTGTATTCCTAGCCAGGAACGATGCATGCCTTAACTTTGGCCATAAATACCCATTGGCAGGCAGCTTCCTGGGGAGCAGAGGGAAGAAGTTGTTCCTGGGAACTCACACAGGAGATTGTAGGGCTGTCAGGGCCCTTGAGAGAGACTCTGCAATCCTGGAAGGGACAAGGATATGCACCTCCAGGCCACATTTCATTTCCAAGCAGAAATCTCGAAGAAGACAGAGGGTTTTAGATAGTTCTTTCTTTTCCCACCTGTTGTGTAGGAGCAGTGATGAGTCCAGATGACTTGGTCTGTTTCCCACTAACCTCATTTCCTGCATTTGAGAGCTGATAATGGCTTGAACTTGTCCCCTCCAATTACTGAACGAGGAGCTGGGTTTGGATAAAGGTTGTGTGAACAGCTGCAGCCTGAAACTCACAGATGTGTCAGTATGGCCAGGATGCTAAAATGAGTCTTCCAAGTACAGCGGTCCTTTTCTCTGTACCTCAGTTATGGGAGCTGATATTAGAAGCCCTTTCCTCCTTCTCAGTGAGAGATGAGACAGTAAAATACATCCAAGACTTGTAGAAAGCATATTTTCTGGGAAGAAGATAAAAATACAGCTCAGAGTTGCAGCTGGTGGGAGATGGAAATCAGACGGTAGGGTGGATTCTTGCCCCTTCCGTCTGTCCCAGCTCCACAGCAGAGGTTGTGCTATGACTCACAAGCGCTTATTTTCAGATGTTAAGCTGAAATTAGGAGGATTGTTTGTTAAGAGGCTAGAGCGGCAGCTGCTGTGTCCCATGGTGGTCACAAGCACAGTGATCATCCCTGCAGGACACTTGTCCTCTGTCAGAGGACAGAAAAGGGTCTGCTTGGACCCAGCCTTCCCCACTCTGTGACATCAGGCCTTTTTCATGTGCGAACCAAAGCTCACTGGTGCAGACAGAAGAGAGGCTTGATCCTGCAGGCTACTTTTCTGCAAGTCATCCTGTTAGATCTTATGGGCAGCACGTGACACGCTCCCAGCTCCGTATGTGTAGCTCATAGTGAAAATTCTGGTGCATGTGACAATCTCAATGTTTCTTTCAAATTCTTCTCTGAAACTACAGGTGTTCTTGGCCTTGTTTGGCTGAGAAATAAGAGGATTTTCTCAAGTTCTTTCTCCATATCTAGGTAGCAGCAGTGCCTCAAAGCTGGGTGGTGTTGTATCTCCCTGCCTGTGCTAAGGGATGTCTGCGGGCTGCCTTCAGGTGTGACGTCAAGCAAATGAATTCATAATTCATAGTGCCCTGGGCTTCTGGACTTTCTGGACACCAATGGAAGGAGAGTCTGGCAGAAGCCCTTTCCAATCCCTGGTACAAACCATCCAGAAGTCACCTACAGATCCCAGCACGTGTCCTGGAAAGTCCCGCTGCTATTTGTAGAGCGGACATTTAACCTAGCTGGCAGGAGCCACAGGCCTGGATCAGGCTGGAGAAATGTCCTTTGCTGTTGATGACGTTTGGAGTTTAGCTGCACCTTGTTTGATGTATATTCTTAGCACAGTGTTACAGTAGTGTGTCAGCCTTCCCTTGCCTCTGTTAATAATATCTCCCACGTCACCCCCATTCACACGCTGCCTGCCAAAATTACCCCAGACTGCCGGGGCCATGCCAAGTTTTCGGGACTTCAGTGTACCCTATTAATGTTTGGGATAGTTAACATTTATGTTGCCCTGGTTCTACCTATTCACTGCCCAGCTTCCTCAACTTTGGTTTGTTTCTGATGTCTTTGGTGAGGAGCTGCCTCTGTTTTCTGGCATGAGAAAACACCAGCTTATTTTTCCATGAGATGACCCAACAAAGTGGGATGTGCCCTCCTTCCCTTTTTGTAAGTCAGCTTGGTTGCTTAGGGTTTATTAGCAAGAGTGCTAATGCTGCACTGGGGTCAGAAGTAGAGTGATTCAGTTCTCTGTTATGTAGCCTGTTGTTGGTATATAAGAGCTTCTATGAAAAATGTGTTTAATAACAGAACCTAGGGCTCAGTGAGAAAAGGCACTTAACAATTTAGCAGGCAAACAACTAACTGTTTCTGCCTCTAACAACTTGATTTCAATCTTTGTGGTTCTTTCCTACCTTTCCAAACATTTTTTTTAATTTAATGATTACAATTTATTTTGCATTCTAGTCGCCTGCCATTGCTTCAGATACATGCAGCATTGCCTATAGGCCACAATTAGCTTTAATTAGGGAAATACAGTCGTTGGCATAGCTAGAATTGAAGAGCTGCAAGGTTTTTGTAACCAGGTAGAAAACACCATGGAAAGCATCCAGCCAGCAGCTGAAGTATCTCATTTCTCCTCCTCCAGTGATTTGAAGCTGTTATGGATTATTGAGGACAGGGATTATCCATTCTCTGCTAAGCAGCTTTGCTGAAAATATCAAAGATGTAGGAAAAAACAGACTGGTTAACTTTCCCCTATCTTTTGCATGTTTTATTTCCCTCCATTTTATTTGCAGTCGGAGGAGAAATTGATGTGAAAGCCTCCATGGTTCCTGGAGGATGTCAGGACATGTCAACACTTAGATATTTTCCTTGATGTTTTGGGTTTATATTTCTTTCTTTTGAGAAACCCTTTGTGCATCTGTTAGAATAGCAAATACATTCTTTTTTCTTCTTCTTTTTTTTTTTTTTTCCCCCTAAAGAAAAGGTGATTTATGCTGTCTCAGTACTCTACAGGCAGTTACTTCCTTACTGTTAGGAGCAATGCTGAGGTTGTCTTCCACTTGGCACTTGATGAAATGTTCTGCAAGTAGCCATTTCACTTGAAAATCAGGCTGTGTGGATTCACAAAACTTGAATGTTGCTGTCAGAGAGAGAAAAATGTGTCAGGCTGTCCTGTCAATGCTGTCTATTTCTGATGGGGACTTCCCATATGATGGAGATGCGTCCTTGAGCAGGGGAAGCAGATTCAAGGATTCCCGTGTCCCAGTCCCAGCTGTGATGCCTCTCCACTTCCTCATCTGAAGAATGTCCCCCAAGCCTGTGTTTTTCCACATCTTATTTATGGGTTCTGTAACCATGTTTGAAAGGAGGGAGGCAGAAGCTCATCCTCAGGAATAGAGTTGAGTTGACTTTCCGTAGGTCTGTTGAGCCCTTACACTTCCTGTTAATTTGAGCTCGTCCCTCCTGAAAACATGGCCCCAGATCTTCAAAGGTTAGTGTGAGTGCGGGCTTGTCTTTGGAAACCTGAGTTTTGGGATTAGTTGTTTTGATCTCCACAGCAGGTCCAAATGCAAAAGTGTACCCTGGCAAAGGCAAGTTTGTATTTAGTCTTGCAAAGATGTTTAGATTGTTTGCAAGTACCAAGCTCCCCTGAAAGGTGTGGAGCTCAATGCAGAGGCTGGGAAATCTTAGCATTATCTACTGGAGGACTTTCTGAGCTGTAACGTTCAAAGGGAAGAGAATATTCTGGAGCACTGATCTAATGGTGCCCAACCTGAAGTGTTCAGATGGGACCAGCCATCCCTTCAGCTTGTTATCTCCAGGGTGGCTTGAAAGCTGCCTGCCAGCTGTTGTGTTGTGCTAATGCTTGTCCCAAAGCCCTCCAGGCCCTGCAGGCTGCTCATTGTGGCAGGCTCAATGCAGGGATTTGCTGCTTTTTGCTCCTGACAAAAGAAAGTTCAGTGGGTAATGGGAGTGAGGGTTGTTTACAGCCCTGGTCCATGGTAAGCAGGCCAGCCTAGCCATGGCTTGCAACGGACAGAAAGCCAGCTCAACTGTCCTACTGAGCAACTGCTCAGAGGGTGACACCCAGTGGTGATACATAAGAGCAACCATCCGACCTCAGGAGTTTGTGCAGCACTAGCTGAAGTCCCTGCAGAGGTACCAGCTGCTATCAGCCAACCTCCAGCTCTTCTGTCCTCGATTTTGAGCTGCAATGCGTTTCTAAATAATTCTGTTAACTGCTCCTTCTTTCATTCTCATTCTCCAGTGGGTTTTTCCTCTCTTCCTTTCTAGGTGCTGCAGTGAACCTGACTCTAGTGACACCAGAAAAGGCTATCAAACTGGCAGCCAATGACTTCTTCCGGCATCACCTCTCCAAAGATGGGTGAGTAAAGGATGCAGACCTTAAGCATTTAACTTAAAAGACAGTAGCTCTTGGGATGAGGCTGCTGGGGTGTCTGAGTAAAGGTATAATGTGGTGATATGATAACTGAAACATTAGTTGACCTTGAACAGCTCAGCCAGTGATTACATTTGAGCTAAAGAAGTAACATCTAAAACTGGAAGTGACAAGCTCTTCACTAGATGACTGGTTTTTATCCAAGCTTCTAAAAATAGTTACAGCTTTTGGACAAGGTTAACAGATCCAGACTTTGTAAGCAGCATATTTGAGAGGAACCCAGCAGCACTCATGGCTGCTCAGACAGCTACTGGGAGGAGCCTTGTCCATTGGATGCTGCTGTCTTCTTTCTGGCTTTTCAGTGACTGTAGCTTGAACAGATTGTGACTCAAGTTGTGTAGACCCTAAACTTTAGCACCCTCTTGTCCTTTCATAGCTTGAAAATAATTCCAGAGAGCTGAGAAGAGGTGATGAATGAACTTCAGTTTGGCAAAGGGCACTGGCAATGTAAATGCCAAATGAAGATTATCTGTTTAGTTTGAGAGGTTGGGTTAATGAACTCAATGCTGGTAAAAAGCACCAGTATGGCAGTTGTGTGGAGCCAGACCTTGGATATTTAATGCTGTTTTCACCAGAATATTTCCTTTATAATTCAGATGACACTCATGTCTCCCTTCAAGGTCAAGACATCTCTCCAGAGACAGACAGTGAAGGGTCTAGCAAGGGCAATGTTTTCAGTAGTTAGAAAGCAACCTGCCTACAATAAAATCCCAGTTCTTAACTCTTAACCCAGCAGTTCACCTTGCTGTAAACACAAAGTTCTGCCAGAATTACTTGGTTTAACAGCTTCCTGTAACATGCCATGCCAGAACGCAGTGGCTCAGCAACGTCAGTGGAGTCTGCAGATTTGCACAGGTTGTGGATCTGAGCCTTTCCTACACCTATTTTTTTGTTCTGGAGTCTTTTTAAGCAGCACTTAATGTACGTCTGTGACTCATCGGCTCACAGCTGTTTGTGATCGTCTGTCTCTTCAAATAGTGTCTCTCTGTACTCTGCACAGAAGGTGGGAGGTGATGATGTCCTCATTGCTTCTTCCAAGTGGTGGGTCTCATCCCTGCAGCATACAGCACAGCAAGCCCTGATGTACTGCTGTAGCCTAGCTATGAAGTAAAGACTTAATATGTAGAGTCTCACTATGAAGCATTTTTTTCTCCCTTAGAGGAAAAGAAAGGTTGGGCCTTGGTTAGGTGGCAAGTGAACTAGACATCACACATGGTGTTGAAGTCAACTACTGTGGGGGACTTGAATGAACAAAGTCTGGTCAGCTCTGCTTGTAGAGATAGCTTGAATGAGTTGGACAGAACCTTGATACTGTGGTTATAGACAGTTTAAGATATTTCTAACTAGAGGTGTCATTCCAAGATGCAGTGGAAAAGAAGGTGTCTTGCAGGTTGGCTGTGGTTGGTATAGGCCCTGAAACTAGGATCTAACTGGAAGGTATCGTACATGCTGTGACCTTGCTTAGGGCATGGGGAGCAGGGAGTTGCTGAAAGGCCAAAGATTATCAGGAAGCACCAGGACTCTTAGAAACTGTGGGACAGTTGCTTATTTTGGGATCTTTCTTCTGCTTGCAAGGAAGTTGCAGGCATGTGGATGGTGAAAGTAACCTGTTGGAGAGGTTGTGCCCAGCCATGCTCTGGTGGCTGTGTGCCACCTTCCTGCTGGCAGTTCCCAGGATCTCTTCCCATGTGCAGCTCACGTGACAAAATTATTTCACTGGGTGATGGAGCTGGGTGTCTGCCAGGGTGGTGCCTTGCTCTTGGTCCCATTTTCCAAGCTGTTTGCAGGCTTCTCCCTTGAGATGCTTCTGTCCCCTTCTCCCTGGCTAATTCTGTTAGAAGACAGAGCAGGAATCTTCTAGACTTGTTGTCTTCTATTTAACATTGAATGCCTTCATTGCTAAGCTGCTGGCACTTACCTTGCTTGAAATGTGTTTTTTATCAGTTCCTTGTTTTACAAAACGTGCATATTTTATCAGTATTTGTTGATCAAAATTGCTGAGTCTGGCTTCCACTTGAGCTTTGAAGAAGCATTCTATGGACAGGGAGATGTCCACAAAATGTGGACATGTGGCAAATGGCCCAAAATAGCTTCAAGATACTCAGCAACTTCCAGTGAGCTGCTTTTTTTTTCTTTTTCCCCGCTTTGAAAAAACTTGATGTTGAAATGAACCTGCTTTTAAACTGCTGGAAGAAGAATGTGGCATAAGGCCTGTTTCCAAAAGGCCAGATGGAAAACAACACAAATGATGTAGGAAGTTCCTGGCTGCAGATTGCTGGAAGACTATTTTGGGGCTGTATCACTGCATCACTGCAGGTTTGTGCTAGACTCTTTTTTTTGGTTGTTTTTGTTTTTCCCCTTCCTGGCTGCGCTCATGGATGCTTCAGGAGTTGACATTGGGGCTTTATGTCCTTATTGGTGCTCTTGTTCCCCTGAGCCTGGAGAGTTCTGCTCCTGCAGGTCTCTCCACCCTGGGGCCAACTCAGATGGATTTGTTACAAGAGAAATGTGCTCACAGGAGGCTTAATTTCTGCTTCTTTTCCTGTTTCTATTTTCAAATTGACACCAGTGGCAGCCTGCTGATAACACTTCTTGTTTCCAGAAGAAACAAAACTTACTGTGCTGGTCTTCACATGCCACCTCATTTAGAAACAAGGAGGCCTGTGAGTACTGGAAACCCCCTAGGAAACGTGGCATTGTCCTGTGATTATTTTGCCTTTAGAGTCCCTGCAGTTTCCAGGCCAACAAGCCAAAGTGGGGATCTGCAGAAGCATCTTCTTGTAGGTCTTCATCGCTGTGCTTCTGGGAAAGCAGGATGTGAGAGGGGAAGCTTCTTCGCTTTAGGCTACAGAGAACTGATGAGATTTTTCTCTAAATTTCTGAAGCTGGATGGATTAAGAAATCCATAAACTCAGAGCTGCTGTTAAAACAGCAGCAACTTTATCATCCGGAGCAGAGGATGTGAGAGCAAGAATCACTGGAACTAAGTGAAGCACTTGGATATGAAGCACACAGGCATGAAGCTAAGAAAGCAATGTAAATTGGTAGTACACCTGCATGCATTTAAAGTATAGTAATTTTTAGATACTCAGTATGTGTGGACACTTCCATAGGTGCAAGTGTTGCCTATAGAGCTTTTTGTCCTCTTTGAATTTGGGTGATAAGCGCTTCCTAAAAGCTGGTCCCTGTAAAGTGTCTTCATGTTTATCTCCAGAGCATTTAATGCCAGATAGCTGTTGTTTGCCACGTGCTTGCCAGGTTTGGTTCTTGGCTATGTGCTCTGCCTTGGCTCCAGTAAAAAGTGTCTCATGTCTTCTCATAAAAGACATTTCTTAATCTTAAAAGCTCTGCAGTGTCTCTGGATGAGTTTCCTGCTGTTCATCTTCCTCCTCAAAGCCTGTCATTATGTTATTCTCTTACCACTCCCATCATCTTTACCTGCATTTTATTTGCTGTTCTGGAGTAAAGGCTGGAGATGTGCTGACTGAGCAGCTCGGGTTCCTACTTAAACCACTGTGGTTGCACTAATTGTTCTTTTGCTGATGCCAGCAAATTTTCTTCCTTTCTGCCCCCCTTCTTGTCCAGCTTTGGTTGGAGAAGAGAAATAGCTGACTGTAATCCCAGAGGCAAACATAGCACTTTTCCTGCTCTTCCATGTAGATGTGGAGACTGGAGCTTGTTCTCCATTGCCTTGCTGGATGGGCTCTTTCCTCCATCCTCTCCTCTTTCAGGCTGTCCTAAAATACTCAGACTATCTCTTTCGTGGCACCTGGATAAGTAGCGATTGTATGGCCTGGGTGATCCTTAAGCTGCAAGGTGCACACAGACTGTGAAGAGAGGCTTTTGGTTTAGGAAGGAGAGGTGCTGCCATTATTTGTGCTGCTGAGCTTCTGTGTCACCTTGGCACACACTCATACAAACACAGAATTATTAAGGTTGGAAACAGCCTCCAAGTCTAACCACAACCCACCCCCACCATGCCTACTGACCATGTCCCTCAGTGCCACATCTTCACTGTTCTTGAACACCTGCAGAGGTGGTGACTCCACCACTCCCTGGGCAGCCTGTGCCACTGCATCACCACTTTCTGACAAGAAATTTAATGGGCCAGTTCTCTCCTGTTGTTATCTGCTGGACGCCCAGATACTTCCTTAATGCAGATAACCTTCATCCAACCCTCTGAGACTTGTGGGTGGGAGAAAGAGCAAGTTCAGAGTTCATAATCTCACTGTGTCCCTTCAGGAATAACTGTCTTTGAGGTCCTTTTATTTAGCATACAGCAGCATAGAGAGTTATGGTGGATTGAAGTCATAGCCTCCAAAGGTCAGCCAGAAGGTAAGGTCACTTTCAGCTGTTAATCCAGAGGGAGCTGGAGGTGGATTGTTTAATCACAGCAGGAGCCTCTGGAAGGAACGTGGCCCTTGTTGTTTCCCTTCCTGCTATTTACATTGTTAGAAAACCAACTGACTGCCTTTGATTTGAACTCTTCAGGAGCTTTGTGCAACCCTGTTTGGACAGACCAAAGGCAGAGGTTATTTTATGAGTGAGGAAGGTGATGTCCAAGCTGGGAAGAACATCTTGGCTCCTATAATATGGCTTTGTTATGGATGTTCCCTTAGGTCAGACTTTTCCTTCCTTTAGGAATCTTGTCACACCTATTGTGGAATGGTTGGGGTCCTTCCCCCAGCACTGGCATCTCCTGCACAGCCAAGATTTTTCAGAAACTTTTGAAAAAGATCGACTTGACATCAGTATACCAGTTTCCATCGGTGCAGAATTTGGGATATTTGTTACATTTAACACACTCTTGCTGTGATGAAAGATTGTTCTGACATTTGTTGGACCAAGTCCTTGTAGAGACTGTGGCTTTTGAAGTTAGTTGGGATGTTCCAGTGTTCAGACCGTTGAGGATAAAGCCTGTGGTGCCTTGAAGTTGAAACCTCTGTTGTCATCTAGAGGTGATCCATTTTCCAACTCATTTTATGTGCAGACTAGCAAAGTTTTGTGATGGAAGTTTGACCTTTGGATGGTAAATTTTAAGCTTCCTGACAAAAGATTTGCTTGTCTTGGTGTGCTTTTATTTCCTGGACTCCCCTCAGGTTCCCAAGAGATGCAAACCAAAAGCCCTCATTCTACATGCTTTTGATGTACCTGTTTAACATCTCTCTAAAATACACCCACACACAGAAACCTTCACTGAGTCTCAATGCTGGGGCTCCATGGAGCTCAATCAAGGCAGGCTGATCTGTGTGTGCTGGGGTAATGGCCCACAGATGAACACACAGGGCATCTCCCTGAGCTTTTGAACAGAGCATCAAAGCAATCTTGCTGGGTGAAAGCCAAGTGTGTGCTTCAGGGTTGCTGCAGGGCTCTTGCTGAGGCAGGAGATGCTCTGCCAGGTTGTGGAGGGACTGGTAGCTGGCTTCTGTGCGTGTCTGAGTCCTCCCACTGCTGGCCTAAGGGCTGTGCAGCAATGCTTCTGCCCACGTTTCATCCACAGGGGAATTTGAAAAGGTAATACTAGGTGGTGTTTCTTCCTTCAGTCCCAGTGGAGAGCTTTATATTTAGCCATCATAATCTCTGCTTGTGCCTCTAATCCCTGCTTGCTCTGATACCCAGCCTGGAGAAGATGAGAGGCGGAGAAACGGGCGCACTGACGTGGCAGGCAAGCAGGATTAGGGCAGTCCCACTGTGACCCGGGGTGCCCTGCGGCATGTGGGCAGGTGGGGAGTGGGCAGAGTGACGTGCCCAGATGGGAGATGCCCAGCTGGGGGAAGCTGAGCAAATCCCCAGCACTGCCTGCTGCTCAGCACGTGCTGCGATGGCGCCCAGCAGCAATTAATGCTCCGTTCATTGCACTCAGACCTGCAATTGCCTATTGCTGCAGCAGCTGGGCTGTGGGAAGGTGAAAGTACTCATTGTGTTTAAAACAACAAAAAAAGAGGCTGTTTCCCCTTGGCTGTATGATCTCTCACTGCTTTTTTTTTTTTTCCCCTTTTAAAAAAGGAACAGATCAAAAGCACTTTTTTTTTTTTTTCCCAATGATTTCTGGTGCCACCGTGGTGTGAGATTTTTACAGGGTGAGAACTCACCAGTTTCTGAAAATTGAGCCTTTCTGCATCAAGTTCCTCTTTTCATCCCTAACTGCGTGGTTTTGTGGCTTTGGGAGGGAGGAAGCTGTGTTTTGTAAGACAGGAGCATGCCCCCAGTGACTCCAGCCCTCTGGCACAGAAAATGCACAGAGCTGCAGTACTGGGGTTCTGTCGTGCCCTTCGTCTCTCAGCAGCAGCAGTTGGGTATAAAAGCTGCTTTTTTTGCCTTCAGGAAGTAGGGTTGAAAAGGCTGATAAGTTGAAGAAGTTGATAATCATAAAGGAGCTGCTTCTTGACTCTCACATTCACCTTTTACATATTGTTGCTTTTGTCAGAGAAGTTGAAAGCAGCAGCTAGAACTGTTTCCTCTTGCTCCTTGGTGGCCTCTGCTGGGGATGTTGTCAATGTTTAAAGGACTAGGCTGGCAGGAGGGAAACTGCTGCAGCTCTTGGTCGAGGGATGCAAAGGACTGTATGTTCCCCTCTTTCCCACTGCTGAATCGAGGCATGTGGCACCTCTGAAACAGTGCCAGGTTAGCGTGTTTGGGACACCTGGTGGTGTGTCATGGATCACCCTTGGGGACCACGTGGTATGACAGCAAACAGCCAGCCTTCCAGTGTAGTGGTCTGGGACTGTGCTGGGCGGGCTTATGGCTTCTGAATGTTGGCCACCTCCTCTGACCATCTCTCTCTTCCTTTGGGCAGGAAGAAGCTGACGCTGCTGAGGGAGATGCTGGCAGGCTGCGGTGCGGGTACCTGCCAGGTGATTGTCACCACTCCCATGGAGATGCTCAAAATCCAACTGCAGGATGCAGGGCGGATTGGTACGTCTGCATCTCCCTGTGCACTAGGCAGGGAGAGGGAATGAGCCATAAAAACGCTTTTCCTTCCTCCCACTTTAAGTCAGAGGTACCTCAGTTTGTAGCAGAAATTTATCCTCTTCCCAACTTGTTTCCTCCCAGCCTTTGCTCACCTGGCCTTGCAAAGGCCCTTTTGGTTAGAAAACGTGTTTTTGCTCAGAGCTTGGTGGGTGAAACAGCAAATGCTGGTGGAGGATGGAGAGAGATAGGAGAGATGGCTGGGTTGAGCACCTTGTGAGCGATTACAACTTGCCAGCTCTCTACAGTCAAGAAGGAGTTAGCATCCTGCAGTGCTTTTGCTGTGGTACTTCCTCTGTCTCCTTCTTTCCTGGTGTCCTTTCTGTCTTCCCCACTCCTCACGATAGCAACATCCTCACAGCTTCTAGGCATCCTTTCCTGGTCAGAACTGACACCAGAAGTGGCTCGGTGAATCTGGAGGAAGAGCTGTCGCTATTAACCTCTTCCAGAAGTCAGCCCAGCATATGGCCCTGTTCTTGAGAATGTCTGGTGATGCCCACTAGGTACCTTCTGAAACTGCCTGGAAAATGGGCCAATTTGTCCTCTAATCTCTCCTTTGATGTGGCATTCCTGAATAATCGTGGATTTACTTTGCTTTCACCTGTTTGCTGCTTTTAATGCAGACCTTATCTTCTTTGTGTAGTATTTTAAAGTGCTTGAAGGATTTAAACCATAGTTGAAAGGGTTCACAAGAGGTTTGTGCTGCTGCAAACAGCTCATTCTCTGTGCAGCATGGACCTGTGGTGTGCCGGTGGCAGCCACAGCATTGCCTGCAGGTTGGTGTGCTCCCCATCTTCTGGCCAAAGAACAGAAATGCATCAGAGTTCGAAAAGGCTCCTGGAAAGGAACCATGTTGCCTGTGTAAAAATGGTCTATCTGCTCAGAGTTAATGATTGCTGTACCTCCAGTTTGCTCTACTGAGAAATCCTTCTGTCCCGCGGCACCAGGCAGCAAGAGGCTGCTGTTGAGCATCTCGCAGTCTCACACTCTGCTTCTCCACAGCGGCACAGAAGAAGCTGATGGCAGCACAGGCCCAGCTCTCCTCTTCCTCTGCGGCCGGGGCAGCAGAGCCGGTGGTGGAAGCACGCACCACAGCGACGCAGATAACCAGGGAGCTGCTGCGCAGCAAAGGCATCGCAGGACTCTACAAGGGCCTGGGGGCCACGCTGCTAAGGTAGGACACGGAGCAGAACTGTCAGCCTGAGCCTCCAGAGAGTGACACAAGTGTTTCAGCTCTTGTCCCTGTGCAGTCGCAGAGCTGGGATCATGTCTGCACTGCACTTGTGGCTGCACTGCCAGCACACCATGCATGCAGCCCTTCGTTTGATGCTCGGTTTGTTGGTGTCCCACCCTGACTTTGCTCATCCTTGTCCTCTTTCTTTCTTCCCCTTCCTCCCTTCCCTCCACAGGGATGTCCCGTTCTCCATCGTTTACTTCCCGCTGTTTGCAAACCTGAACAAGCTGGGCCAGAAAGACCCCAATGTCAAGGCCCCGTTCTATGTGTCCTTTCTCTCTGGATGCGTGGCCGGTAGTACAGCTGCAGTGGCTGTCAATCCTTGTGATGGTGAGTCCCCAGCAGCTTGTTCTGGCAGCCTGGTGCTGTGTGACAGCACTCAGAGGCCATTGGGTGGGCTGGGTGAGGGGCAGGATGGCCATGCTTGCCTCTTCACTGCATGAGCACTGAGGGCAGTATAGGAAGCGAGCTCTGCTGTTGTAGCTGCCTCCAGGAGCTGAAGGTGTTTCCTTCAGCTGAGCTGGAAACTTGGCTGTTTTTTTCACAGAAGTTTGAAGTACTCACTAGATAAGTCAGGAAGATATAATTCATGTCAGCCATTCTTTACAGAACTTGCCCCTGTAAAGGCGCATTTCCATCTGGAGTATTGTCCCCCAACCAGTGACACATGTGCCAAAGGGCAGAGACAAGTGGGGGCCTTTCCTTCTGCTCCACAGCAGCTGCCTCAAATACCTTAAAATCTCACCTGAAAGTAAATCCTTTCTTGTCAACATTGCACGCACTTCAAGAGGGGAAGAAATGTAAGAGCAATGCTGCGTATTTTAGGTATTTTGACCTGCCGTTCCAGAAGGAGTTGAGCACTTGGAGATAGCTCAGAGTATTTGGAAATCAGATCCCATTTTATAGAAAGATACTGAGTTTGGAAGTATTTAAACCCAGGTCAGCCTTGGAAGCCTTGGTCACATTGGGTGGAGGGAGCTGGTTAATTTTTGGGTGGTTGTGTGTTTTTTTTGTCCATTTGTAAAGGAGGGGGCTTGCTTTCTCCTGTTTTAATGGCACATATATGCAAATGGTCTATGCTCCTCTTGGCTGTCGCAGAGTGCTGTCAGGTTTGGCTCTTGCCTGCTGCAAGCCAGGGGCTGTGGGGGAAGGCCAGCCCTCCACTCACCACTGCCTCTCTTTCTCCCCAGTGATCAAAACACGGCTGCAGTCTTTGCAGAGAGGAGTCAACGAAGACACATACTCAGGAATCCTGGACTGCACCAAGTAAGACTGCTGGGTTTAGTCCTAGGGGAAGGCAGAAAGCCAGGGCATGGCCAGAGGTTCTCCTGGCACAGTGGAGGGATGGGAAGGGATGGACACTGACCAACCTGCGCCGTCTTTTCCCAGGAAGATCTGGCAGAAGGAAGGACCCATGGCCTTCCTGAAAGGGGCGTACTGCCGAGCCCTGGTCATCGCTCCTCTCTTCGGCATCGCACAAGTCGTCTACTTCATTGGCATTGCCGAGTTCCTCCTGGACATACTCCCCAAGCACCGGGCCTAGCCCTGGCACCCCTGCCTGTGCCCGCCCGTCCTCTGCCACGCCGGATTCATCCCTGTGTTTGTCGTCCATGTCGAGTGGTGTGAGAGCAACAGCACAGAGGGTTCGCTTGGGAACATGGGGGACATGGTCTCCAGATGAGCAAACATAGGGAGGGAGAGTCTCTTTTCTATCTTGATCTGCAGCCTGTTCCCTCCCCCTCCTTCCACGGACAGTACCCAATTATGCATATCTCTTTTTTTTTTTTTCCCCCTTTTTTTTTTCTTCTTTTTTAAATCGTAATTCTTAAGGACACTGGTAAGCACAGACTGGGCTTGCGCACCCAGAATTCTCTTCCCAGCATTTAGAAGGAAGAGGGAAGAGGAAAAAGATAACCTGAGCCCTCATTCACCTCCGCCCTTCCTAGGGCTCCTGGCTGCCTGCAGAGAGGCTGCAGGGGCAGCTGTGTCCCTCAGCCAACTCTCCGGGTGCTGGGTCCCAGGAGGAGAGCAGGTGTCCTGCAAAAGGATGCACAGGGGACGCTGGGTCTGGCAAGTTCCTTGGCTTGGAAACCTTTGCCTCTTTCCCTTGCTCAAAAATGAGTTGGACTAGGATGAATTTCTTAGAGATCAAAGGAAGGGAAAGGGGATCATTACTTTTTTTTTTTTTTTTTTTTTGTAATTTTTGTTTTAAAGCAAAGGGATTTCCCTCTTGGTGAGGTGCAGAGGCAAGGTGGCTGCTCTGTAGGGAACATGTCTGTGGGATCATGTGAATGTCAGAGGTCCTTCCCTGCTTGGCTGCAGGCAGGGGAAGGAGAGAAACTTGGGATCAACTTTATTTTATTTTATTTTTTAATGCAGGGATTGTGGGGAGGGAAAAGAACCAAACAAAAAGAAACCACTTACATTCCTTCAGCCTGCCCGCCCCGAGGTGATGCCTGTAGCAGGTGTACGGTTAGCTGTGTACACAGTTGGTTCTGTGTTTCCTGGCTTGGCCCCAGGACATGAAAGGAGGAGCCTGGTCTGTTTCCATAGGGTCCAAGGTACAGCAGCTGTGCTATGAAGCCTGTGTGTTTGCTCTTACCTTGCAAGGTGAAAGCACAAGGTCTGGTTTTGTGGTGTTGTTTGACTGGGTGTGCCTGCAGCCAGCTGCTGTCAAGGAGGTTCCATGCCCTGAGCAAGGAGCTGTTGTGCAGGTGGGACTGCAGGGTTGCAATCCCAGAAACTCATCATCCCTCTCACCCTTGGGGAAGTGTTCGTTGTTGGGTGGTGGGGGCATTTCCCTGCTCCACAACCCACTCTGCCAAAGGGATTCTGCCCAACTGCAATCACTTGTCAGAGGGCTTCTCATTAAGTACTCTCTTGGGCTGTGCTGTTAATCCTTGGTAAATCATGTTAAGTACAAGATCAACAACCTCACCGTGATCTTCTCCATTATTTATTCCATGTGGTGCAATCCACCCAACCTCAATGTTTAAATTAAACGAGTCAAATTCACCTTCCATTCCTTCTTTTCGTTTGTTTCTCCAGGCGCTTGCTTGGTGTTTGTGTTTCAGTTGTGTATTTAAGTTAATTTAAAAAAAAATAATAATCCATGTTTTTAATGTTTGAAAAAAAAACCACCTCTGTTTCAGCATTCTTGGGTTAGGGTATTTCTCAAAACCCAAATGTTGAGTGCTTTTTTCCTCGATGCGTCCTTTTTCTCTTAGAAGAAGTCGCTCTGTAGCTGATATGTTCCTTGTCACTTTGCTGTGTGAATCACTTTCCTTTTTTTTTAATGATTTTTTCCTTGTATCTGGGAAGGAATCTGTGCAAAGATGGTCTCTGAGTCTGGTAGATGTCTGTGATGTGTGTAGTGCTGTGATGCTGCTCTTGCTCTGGATTTCTCTTGGGTGGATTAAAAGAGAAAGATTTGTGGTTTTTCTAAGGTGCTCCCTCTTCCTCCCGAAACCTTCAGCTGCTCTTCTTCAACAAAACACTCAGAATCTTAATTGCAGGGAGGATTCTAATATGTATGGTTTTCTAAATGCAGGTGCAAGTTTGTGTGAGTTTGGAGCAGCCTCCCTCCCTGCTTTCCTCATCCCAGCATCTTAGAGAAGGTGGGGTCGGGGGCACCCATGGGGCTGTGGGAGTGGGGGTCGGCTTTGGGGGGCCACTTTTCCTTATCCCCAGGTGCTTCTGGATACTGTGACCTTACTGGGGCTGGGTTTAGCTGCCTAGACCTGAGTTGGAGGGTGTCAGGAGGTGGCTATGACCTAGCCCTGCAGGCTAGCACCAAAACAAAGATGAATTTCAACTAGGGGGAATTCCAATCCACCAGCAGTGAGTAGAAACCTCCAAGTGTGAATTCCAATATTATGAAGTAGTGGCAAACAGACACCTCTGCTCGCCCTGGCCAGCTGTCTGCTTCCCTGCTGCAGGTGCCATGTGTCCCCAGGACAGGGGATGATGACTGGAGCGTGAAGCTGGCACATGGTGCATCTTACCCCATGACTTGTGCATTGGGTCCTCTGCTGGGCTCTTCTCCCTTATGTCCTGTGTGGTGTCACTTTGTCCCTGCCCAGGCCTTGGCTCTGGTGGCTCCAGGTGCTTAGTGCCCCTCCATAACCATGGTTTTTCATCTTCGTCCTTGGAGGAAAAGAGAAAAGCGTACCAGGAAGTGGTAAGGAAGTGTCCTAAAGCATCATGAGGAAATTCCTACAAAGAAAAGTGGAAAAATCCATGAAAGTGATAGGGAAATCCTGACAAGGTACAGTCAAATGTCCTGGAGGGTGATGGGGAAATTTCCTGTGAGGCAATGTGGGAATTTTCTGGAGAGCAATAAGGGGAATTCCTCAAAAGTAGAGGAGCAAATATCCTGAAATATCCTGGGAATCTGTGGGGGAACTTTGTGAATAGCAGTGGTTGATGTTCATGGAAAATAATGGAGGATCTAACCATGAAACATCCTTGAAACCAATGGGGGGATTGCTGGAGTGCAAATTGGAGAGATTCCTCCATGAAAGGAACAGTGATGCTTCCTTGGCAGCGGAGGGGAAACTTCCTAGAGCACAACAGGTGGATTTGCAGGCGAACAATGGAGGAACTTCCTCAAAAGGTGAAGAACTACTGAACACCACCACGGAAATGCCCCAGGAAGCAAGGGAGGGATTTCCTACAAAGCAGTGGGGAAATTTCCTGGGAAAGGATGGAAGAGTCTCTGGGTGGTAGCCCATGGATTTCCTATGATGCAATAGGGGATTTCTTAGCAAGGAGAGAGTAATTTTGGAGGGGAGTGAGGGAAGGGTAGGCTCACCCCCAGGGCTGGCAGCAGTCCCCGGGCTTGATTTCTTTTCGTGCATGAAACCCAGGAACAGCGCTGCCCCCTGGGTCTGGTTCTTCACCCAGCCCTTAGCGCGCGCCCAGGCCCGGAAGAGTTAAAAAGAATTTCAAAGCCCGCTGGACTTTCCAGCCCCAGCGCTGCACGATGGGGCCGGGGCCGGAAAGCCCCGCTGGCAGCGTTTCGGGCCGCCCTTCGACCCGCGCTGCGCAGTGCGAATATCCCCATCGCCTCCCAAGAGCCGCGGCGGACCTGGAGGCGCGGCGCTGAAGCGGGATCCCCGCACCACGCAGCTGCGGACCCGCAGCCTCCCTGCCGCTCCCTCTCACCGGCGACGGTTTCAGTTTCGTTTCCCCACGTGATTTCCAGGAAAGCCTCCGTCGCTCTATAAAAGCCCGGTCTTGGGGTGGCCCCGTCCGGACGCCGCGGAGCCATGGCAGCGTTGGACAGCGAGGGGTAAGCGGTGCGGCTATGCGCCCGCCGGCCGGCCGCGCGGCCCCGGAGCTGACCGTGCCGCCCCGCAGGGACGCCCAGAAGCTGCGCTTCGGGCCCTGGCTGCTGAACGCCGTCAGCAGCGGGCTGTACCACGGCCTCTGCTGGATCGACCCGGACCGCCGAATCTTCCGCATCCCCTGGAAGCACAACGCCAGGAAGGATGTCACCAGCAGCGACGTGGAGATCTTCAAGGTGGGGGACTTAGCGACCTCAGGATGCTTGGGGTATCGCCAGCAGTAGCGGGGGGGGGTGTTGAGTTCGGCACCTCCAGCAGCCCAGCGGTCTGTCTCTGGGGTGGGCAGCGGTGACCCAAGGGTGGGTGAGATTAAGGGGGGTCAACGGCAGCAACCCCAGGTCTGCAAGCTGGTTGGTAATGGGATGAGCAACAGCGGTGATTCCGAGGTCTTTGAAGTGGCACGAAGATGGGTGGATGAGGCGCTGGCACAGGCTGCCCAGAGTGGTGGTGAGGTCACTGTCCCTGTGACTAAGAACTGTGTGGATGTGGCAGTAAGGGATGTGGTCTGTGCGCATGGTGAGCATGGGTTGGTGGGCAGGCGTGGTGATCTTAGTGGTCCTTTCCAACCTTAATGGTTCTAATCCTGTGGTCTTCAAGGTGTATGGGAATGAGGTGGTCACCAGTGGTGGTGGCAAGGTCTTTGAAGTAGGATAGGTGTGACTGGAGGACTGTAGTCTTCAAGGCAGGTGAGAATGGCAGTGCCCAATGCTGGATGTTCCTGCTCGTGCAAGGGCTGGGCCAGATGGATGCAGAGGGCCTTGTCACCTCGACCATCCTGCCACTCTGCAACTCCATTGGAGGGTGACTAGCAGTGACCCCAGGGTCTTCAAGGGGGTGGGACCAGGGATGACCAGCAATGACCTCAAGGCCTTCAGTATTGATGAGATGGGATAGTTAGGGCCCGCATTTCGGGGGTCCCTGTGCTCACCTCTGCATGCCCACCAGGCCTGGGCGAAGGCCAGTGGAAGGTACGAGGGGAATGCTGAGGATCCAGCCAAATGGAAGACCAACTTCCGCTGCGCCCTGAGGAGCACCCACATGTTCACACTGCTGGAAGACCACTCCAAGTGCAACAATGACCCGCACAAGGTCTATGCAGTTGCCTCAGGTGAGCCCAGGCTTGGAGGAAGCAACAAAATGGGGGCTGAGCTTGGGGCACCCCGCTCACCCTGCTCTCCTTCCAGCCATCCCCAATGGCAGAGGTTCTGGGGGCCCTGTGTCAGATGCTCCTCTGCAGCAGCCCCAGCCGCAGGTAATGGGATGGGCACAGCAGAAGGGGAGGGGGCCTGGTGCTGCTACTGGAGCATTGCAGCCCTCATCCTTGGCCTGGGCCCACAGCACCAGTGCTTCAGGCCTGTCTTGCTTTCCTCTGCAGCAGTTGCTCAACCACCATGAGTTGGCCTCAGAAAACACTCCCACAGGTAGGTCCCAGTCCCCTGTTTGTGTGTGGGGGCATCTCAGGCTCAGCCTGGCGGTGGGATCGTGGTGGATTTGTCCCAGGACCGAGCCACTCTGGGGGTTGGTTTTGGGGTTGCTGATGGCTGCTGACCCCCCTGCTGTGCCCCACAGACAGTGCTGAAGGTGCTGCTGCACCAGCCCTGATGCAGGAGGATTTGGACATGCTGCAGTCCATACTGCAGCACTGCAACATCTCTGCCCTTGGCTCCCAGACAGCCCTCTGGGCACACACAGGTGAGACCAGGCCCACTTGTTTTGGTGGGGGCGCAGAGTGAGGTAAACCCCCACCCACCTACAATGCCTCTGTAGGGGATGCCTTGCCAGAGGATGCTGTGCTGCTTTCTGGCCCAGGTGGCTGCCTCCCTGTGCCACTGTTCCAAGATTGGAGGCACATGGAGGAGCAGGGCACCTGCAGCCCCCCAGAGTCCCTGCTGCTGGCCGACCAGCCCCTCCCAAACGGGAGCTGCGGGCAGGACGGGGCCGGGGGCCTCTCTGTGAGCGAGGAGTGTGCCATCCCTGCACCATCCCCGGGTGAGCAGCTACTCTTCCAACCTGCCAACCCCGCGCCTCCGCCACTGGCAGGTGACACAGGTGAGGGTTCCTCTATGGGGACACAGCTAAGGGTCCGTCTGTGGGGACGAGGGAATTTTGGGGCCGCCACCACTGACAGCTGCTTCGTGCAGGAGAGCTGCCCCCCATCCTGGACATCACTATCTACTACCGAGGAAAGGTGGTCTACCAGGAGCAGGTGGTTGACAGCCGGTGGGTGCTGGCCTACCAGCCCCTGGACCCCGCAGTGGCTGAGCAGCGGCTGGTGCTGTTCCCCAGCCCCGAGAGCCTGGCCGACCCCAGGCAGCGGCACTACACTGAGGACTTGCTGGGGGTGGCGGGGCTGCGGCTGGAGCAGCGTGCAGGCCAGCTCCTGGCCACTCGCCTGAAGAAGTGCAAGGTCTTCTGGGCCTTGTCACAGCAGCTTGAGGGCGGGGAACCCCCTAACAACCTGCTCCACCGGGACCAGGAGACGACCATCTTTGATTTCAGTGTGTTTTGCACAGGTGAGTAGGGCCCCTTCCCATCCCGGTTTGGGGTTGAGGTGGTGGGGAACAACCCAACCAGAGTATCCACTGCCCTCACTGTGGCCTGCCCTAAGCCCAAGCCCTGCCTCTCTTTGCAGAGCTCCGGGACTTCCGTGACAGCCGCAGGGAGCGCTCCCCCGACTTCACCATCTTCCTCTGCTTTGGGCAGTGCTTCTCCAGCATGAAGCCCAAGGAATCCAAGCTCATCCTGGTGAAGGTGAGTGGCCCTGAGGTGGCCTCAGAGGCAGAGGGAGATGGGTACTGTGGACTGGGACTCTCAGGACCGGGGCAGATGGATTGTTCTGTGCACTCCCTTATTTTTCTCATGGAGGGATGGGGCTGCATGGAGAAGCAACAGCCCCGAGCCCCATCCACAGCTGTGCCCATCTGTTGTTGCAGCTGGTGCCCAAGTTCTGCGAGTACTGGTATGAGCAGGTGCAGCGGGAAGGAGCCTCCTCCCTCAACAGTGGCAATGTCAGCCTGCAGCTCTCTGACTCCTTCAACCTCTTCGAGCTTATCGAGCAATACCACATGCAGACAGATTGATGCTCCCTTCGTGTGTTCCTCCCCCCAGCCTCTGCTGTCTTGCAAAGGTCAGCATTGGGCTGGTTTCACCGTTACAGAGGAGAAAAGAGCAGCATTTGCATCCACTCCCGGGCACATCTTGCTACCCTGCTCTGGCTATGAGTGCTGACTGAGGGTCAACACACTACGGGAGCAGCCAGCAGTAGAGCCAGCCCAGCACCTCTCCACTCCTCCAAAAGCTCTGCAAAAAGCTTGGTGGTTGGGAAAGCCTTTTCTCTGACTGCGCAGCACTTCAACCCCCTGGCACCAGCATGGTGTACAGTGGGGGTCCTTCCTTCCTCCTTTGCCCCCAGGACAGTTCCTGTGGACCTTGAGCTGGCATGTGGCTTTTTCCAGCAGCTATCTGGAGTTTTTGGGGATTGTGGTTCTTCACAGATTTACTTTTCTGAAGTTTTGTAAGTTTAAATGTATGTCTATATAAAGGTGCTTCCCACTCACTGGTGTTGCATAGCATCTTAAATGTATCCTTTATGCATCGCAAGTCAGCACATTCATTTATGGATTTATTGCCCTGCAGTAAGGATGTAAGCAGTACTTGTAAGCTCAGTGTGCTGAGGAGAGCTTGACTTCAGCTTAAAAACAATTCTTTTGTCTTCCATTCGAGCTTTCCTCCCTCCTGGCCTGCAGTCATTCACTGGTGATGTTCTGAAAGAGACAAAGTGCTTGTATGACAGAGGCCATCCAGGTGATGATCTACAGTGTGGGGCTGCCTGAGGAGGATGGCATAAGACTGTGGCAGAAAGACAGAAGCAAGGGCAGGGGACAGCCTACCTGCCGGGTGACATGGATGCTGCTGGGCCCAAAGGTAGTGGTGCCGTAGCTGGTCACATAGTAGTGGACAGGGGGCTGTGCTGGGGGTGCTTCTGGCTGCCCAGGCACTGTGTGGACAAAGAAAGGGACCGTCAGCTTTTAAGCAACTCAGCTCCAGTATACCCAGCAGTTGAGCTGTTATTCCCCTAAGAATAAGCAGGAAGCCCTGCTGCTGCCAGGACAGCCAATGTTAACCATTTTGGCCCATGGAAAGGAACTGCTTGCCGTACCTGTTTCCAGAAGGGGAGCCAGAATTTTCCACTGGACACAAACTCCTCACCTCTTAGAGACACTAGATATGCCCCTTCATCTCTGTGCAGCCCATTTAATTCCCCACTAGTGGTCAGATTGCTCTGGGGCTCTGCCTTCCCATGTAGCCCAAGACAGGACACCACCATCACCCACCTCCTTCCAGTTAGAGCTCTGCTCCACCACCACCAGCCTCACCTTTGGGTAAGAGCAGCTCTACACCAAACCGATGCCCACATGTTCCACAGGTTTTAACATCTTCCTTTGTCCTATGAAGGAAAAAGCCCCAGTTGACATTGCAACAGCACCCATCAGGTTCCAGCCCTCTGTGCTGAGCAAGCACATACGTACATGGGGGTTTTGCCATCCATATCTGGCCAGATGAGCTCTGCGGGACATCCGGCCGTGCGACAAGGGGTCTTCACACATACATGCAGCCCTGGCCACTCTTCAGAGAGCTTCTGGATGATAAACACACCCGCCACGAGGAAGTCCCAAGCAAGCTGGAATGCTTCCAGCCAAAAGGAGAGAGGCATGGTTACCCACAGCAGCAATATTGGAGCCACACAACTTGCTTCCAGCCTTATTGTGGCCAACCACCACCAGATCAGGTGTACCACCACAGTTTGTCATCTTAACCAAACCATGGCAGCCTTCAAGGTCAACTTAAAGAGGCATCAAGAAAATTACTTCCCTCAGATGGCCTTTTGCCTATTCCTTGGTGCTCCCCACCTGTTGCTCCTGCTGGCTTCCTGCATCTCAGCTCCAGGTAGCTGTATGCCCGCTGGTTGTTCTCTTTAATCAGCAGAGGTTTGCCATTGCATATGAGCAGGCAGGTTGCCTTGGCCACCCAATGCGTGGAGTAGAAGGAGCAAGCTTTCACAAGGAACCTGCGAAGAGATTGCCTGTGGCTTTAACCACTCTCCTCCCCATTTATATCCCACAGTGGGAGAAAATGTGGCAATGGGATGATCTGAAAAATATGAAACCACTTTTAGTCAAAATAGAGCTAGAAGCTGAATGAGGACCATGGCTCAAGCAGCAGGAGCAGCCTGTTAAGGCAAGAGCTGCTTCCAGATTTGGTTGTTTGATAAAGCCCCAAATACAAGTCAAGAACCCTACAATGACAGGAGGTCTTCCAGAAACTGGAAGAGTCCCAGCGGTAAGTGGTCCAGTCCCAGAGGAAAGCAGGCCTTTCTCCACACTCTGTTCTAGTGGGACTGTGACACCTGGAGGCATTCAAGGCCAGACTGGATGGCACCCCAGGCAACCTGATCTAGTGGGTGGCAATACTGCCCATGACAAGAGGCTGGAACTGGGTGGGCTTTAAGGTCCCCTCCTACCCAATCCATTCCGTGATTCTATAATGCTTGGATTGGCACAGACTAGCTCTATGGCCTGCAAAAACCCACCCCGGATGGCAGGTGAAACAGAAGGATCATTATCCTTGCTTGCATCTGGATGAGGAACATCACAGTGATTCATGCAGGGCTCCACAAGTCCAGGACAGGGCTAAGACTGTACCCTGATCTCCTGAGTCCTAGCTTCACGCTGTGGCTGTTATGTTCTCAACAGCTGAGGGCTTGCTGATGATCATATCTGCTCTGCACCCAACCAACCCCAGTAAGCGGCCTGCCAACGGCTTCATCAGGGGGCTGGACAACACTGCGCACCTGTGGAAGAAGCCCTCAGGTATCTCAGGTGAGAAGTAGGTACGGATGTGGAGGTCCTCATGGTGATCTCCTCCCCACACCTCAGCAACCTCTTCAGTCTGGTTTAGGTAGGTTGGGAACAAGTACCAGGACTCACTTTGGTCCTGTGTTGTCTCCCATGTCTTCCCGGGCACAAACTCACTGGCCTGAGGATTGAGTGCTTTGGCTTGCCTCACCTCCAGGCAGAGCTCGAAGTGCTCCAGGAGGCTGAAGAGCTTCCCTTTCCCCCTGCGGGTCCTGTCCCCCATGATCTCCTCAAAGATGTCCTGCATCCCTTCCGAAAAGAGCTGGTACTTCACCAAAGCACGCACTGCCTGGTGGCATAGCATTGCCTTTGACTTGAAGGCCCACACCCAGTTGGACCTGTCCCTGATGGTGGCATGTTCCGCAATCAGCACCTCCACAGAGATGCTCTCCAGCTGCTGGACCAGGCGGTCCCTCACAAGGAGCTGGGCAGGAAGAGAGAGAAATTAGAGGCGTGATGAGAGGAGCATGGCAAAGCTTGGGCCTTGCAGGGTCCTATTCCCCATGCTCACCTTGAATGTAGTAATTAGGAAGGTGGGCTGCAGAAAGACAGTGCTTTCCAGGTGCTTGATTTCTTCGTACCACACGAGAAGGCCAATGCGGTGGAGGTAGCGCAGGATATCCTGAAGGAGCTCTCTGTCCAGGTTGGCCAGGTGCTCTCGCTGGGAGAGTTCGCTGAGCAGGTACTGGAGGTCCATCATGCCTAGAGGGAGATGTAGGTGCTCAGCATGCCCATCGTGGAGTGCAGCAGCCAAGCCAGCAGTCAAAAGCTGCTGTACAGGGTCAACAAGCATCAGCAGGGCCCAATGTCACACTGTCCCTAGGTAGCAGTTGAGATCAGAGATATGCGTTAAATAGAATTTGCAAGACATAGGTTTGGAAGCCAAATAGAAACATTAAAGCTGTCCGTCTCCTTCCTGCAAGATAACATGAATTGAAAGTGTTTATACAGGGCAAAGGGGAGAAAGAACAACATTACAGACTACACTGCCAGCTGAAAGCTCCTCCATCCACAGGTTGACAGATGCTGGCAGAGCCTTTGTGTGAAGAACTTGCCCTTTTTCCTTGCTTTTCCCTAGGCCTTGGAGTCAGATGCTTGCAATACATTAGATAATAGGAACTCCTTCCTTGTTTGAAGATTCAGGGCACTGGAACAGGCTAACCATAGAAGCTGCAGATGTCCCATCCCTTGGAAGTGTTCACGGCCAGGTTGATTGGGCCTGTTGGAAGTGTCTTCATCTATGGCAGGGGGTTGGAACTATGTGCTCTTTGAGGTCCCTTCCAACTCAAACCTGCATCAGACAAAGCCAGGCAATGACAATGATTGCTTCTGCAAGATCTTCAGCAGCAATGCCACCACCACACACAGAAGGACTTCAGAGGGCCTGTCCCTCTCAGAAAAGCAGCAAGGTGAGGGATGAAGAAGCACTTACCATGGTCTGCCATCTCCTCACTCTGGATGATGTCCACAATGGCAGCTTCTACCTCCCGGTAGACGGGCGGCAGCACACGGACAACCTCAGGGAATAGCTCCTCATTCTTCACATAAGCCAGAATTGTGGCTTCAAGCTTTTTGATGTCACGGTGATCTCTGCAGTTGACAGCAACCAGATCTAAGATCTGAAAGAGAGAAAGCACGTCTGCCAAAAGCAAAGCCAGCAGCTACCACTGTGGTAGTAGCCAGTGAGGTGACAGGCGGATTTCATGCTTCAGAGGCCACCAAGGAGGTGGAGCAAGGTGCTTGCCAGCAGGCGTTCAGCAAAATGCTGGATACCCAGCTGAGGAAGGCCAAGCAGCTATCTGTTTGCCCAGTGAGGCTGGGTATCTTTGGACAGTTGCCACAGTATATAGACAGCATGCTGAGCAATCACCTGGCTCAGCTTCAGTAAGAGTAGGCTTCAGACACATCCCGGATTCCCTTCCAACCTAGCCTCCCTTGTCAGTCTACAAGGACAGGACAGTCTGTATAGCCAGGCACAGCATCCCTTCCATGTAAAGGGCACCTCCATCACCTTTACCGTGAGGGCATTGAGGCCATGGCGCAGGCTGCCCAGAGCAGGTGTGGATGCCCCATCCCTGGAGCTGCTCAAGGCCAGGATGGATGGGGCCATGGGCAGTCTGAGCTGGTGAGTGGCAGCCAAGCCCACAGGAGGAGGTTGGACCTGAATGGACTTTTAAGGTCTTCTACTACCCAGTCCGTTCTGTAATCCTATGATTATAGCTCTGTCTCTGTATTCCAGTGGTCCCAGAAAACCATCCACCCGCACCATGGTGTTTGAAAAGTAAATTTCTTTCTCCTATTTCTCCACTACTGAAGGAGTAATGAACTAGGCTGATAAAAGTCAGGTGGATATGTTTTCATGCAACATGTAGTTGCCCCACTTCTCCCCAGGCCCTTCCTACAAGCCATGAGCAGAGATATCCATCAGAGAGCAGCGGAAAGGAACCAGCAGGTCACAACCAGCAGTTACAGCAGTATGCAATGTTGCCACCTCCATCCCAACCCCATGGAGCTGCTGCAGTAACTAGGTGCCTGATTTGTCAGTAAAGGGTAACCATCCCCACTAGTACGCTGTGTGAGCTAAAGGCAGGCCATGAAGTGCCACCTCTTCATCAATTACCCTGCTAAACCTGCTCATGTGAGCAAGCCCAAATCCTGCAAGCTTGCCTAGTTCCCCTTCCAGCTGCAGTAAATCCACAATAATCGCAACCCTACAGTTAATGTGCAACTCTCCATCTCCTTCAGCCTCTCCCACTGGTCCACATAAACCTCAGGTTCCTCACTGTCCTCCAGATTGTTGATGAAGTGAGTGAGGTTGCTCTTCCTCTCCGCCAGCATGGCCGCAATCTTGGCCATGATGTTGGACCTCTTCTCCTCCACCTCTTGCTTCTGACAGCAGTCCACATGGGTTCCCACAGGAAGCACCACAGAGTTTGGGACTCGCATGAACAGGTTGTTGATCCAGAAGCCAACAAGGTCCTTGAAAGCATCATCATTAGTCTGGTACCTGGAGAGGAAGAGAAAGAAAATGCCAGGTTCACATCTAATGCTTTTCCTGAAATGTAGGCTTAACCATGCACCCTGTGCTGTCCCAGAGACTAGCTGAAAAAGAACTCACATGTCCTAAGTTGTCATGGACCATACCCAAGGCCATCCTTAAGTTGCCCATCCTTAGTCTAAGCCAATAAAAGCTGGGGGCTGTAGCAGATTCCTCCCATGTCATGGATGGGAGCAGGATTTCTCTGTACCAAAAAGCCCAATTCTGATCCTCTTTCAATTTTCGGGGAGCACCAGAAGCCATGTAGAGGCATTGAGAATGCAGAAAGCAAAGATGACAACCATATAAATTCACTTGTCGCAAATTAAGATACATCTAGTGATTCAAAAGGGAGGAATTTTGTAAGGTGGCTTAATAAAATGTGTGGTCTACCAAAAGAAGGAGACAGAGAGCTAGTTAAAGCTTTTGAGAGAAGAGCACTTATCTAGGTGCAATGGATATGGCATCAGCAGTGGAAAATGAAGGGGAAAGGTTACCCAATTCAGATACATTTTCCTTCTCCCATTCTCCCCTGAATTCAGGTCTTACATGTGGAGGTTGATGACAAGGATGACGAGTGCCTGTGGTGTGATGAACACGTGGTGCGTCATGTAATACTCCAGCTGGCCAGCAAAGTCCCAGAAGAGAAAGGTGAAGTCTTCAAGCCTGAACTCACTGATTTCTATGCCAACTGTTCGCTCTTCCTTGGGCACCAGTTTGGCTTGCCTCTGCTTCAGGCTTCTGCAGATGGTAGATTTCCCAGCCAGCGAGGCACCCAGGAACATGGTCTTGATCCTCTTGTCCTCCTGCCCTGAACCGTGTTGAAGCTGGCTGAAATAATTCAGGATCTGCTGGATGCCACCAGCACAGACCTCACTGGGTGGCTCCCTGAGCGGGTTCCCGTTGGCCTTGAACATTTTCAGGGATTGTCCCTGGAAGAGCTCCCTGGGGAGCTGGCGAAGGGCATTGTTCTGCACATGGAGCTCCTGTAGGTTCGCCAGCTGCAGGACAGGCTGGGGGAAGGTTCGGAACAGGTTGTTGGAGATGTTGAGGTACTGCAGGCTGTCTCGACAAGCTGCCAGGTCCCTGGGAAGAGCACCAAGGCGGTTGTTGTTGAGCCGCAAGTGTTTAAGCCTGGGGAGATGGCAGAAGATGCCCTCTGGGATGACTCGGATCTGGTTCTGATTCAGTTCAAGCTTCTCTAAATAGACCAGGCTCTGGATTTCATTGGGAAAGTCCACAATCTCGTTCTTGGATACGATGAGCTTCTTCAGGTTGCCAAGTTTGGAAATGCCGGTGATGCTCCTGAGTTTGTTCCTGTCGAGGTCAAGGCTTTCCAGAGCAGGATTACTGAGGACTGCTGGAGGCAGCACCCGCAGCCTTTGGGTAGAGAGCGTCACCTCCCGCAAACAGTCCTGCTCCTGAACTGGCATGTGGGACAGAAAGGGTAGGTAAGGACCGGTTGGAAGAGACACTTTCACTCCTATGGCTGCGGGTCATCCGGTCCCTTGAGACCTTGAGCTTGGCAAAACTTTGAGACAGAAAAGCAGAAGTAAAACACAAGAGCTGTCTGCACAGCATGACCGCAGCAAGAGGATCTTGTCTGGGCCTGAAAGCACACGCAGTGGTAGAAGAAATGGTGCCCACCAGACTTTGACCAGAAAACCAAGAGCCACAGTAACAGCTTTGCTCTCACTACGAGAACATCAGCAGCGTTCATCTATCCTAATCTCAGCTGTGGGCCAGCAGGATGGAGCTGCTTTCCAAATAACTCACCCTCCCACTGCCGCTCAGCCCCTGATCCAGCCTGCAGCTGGGTGATGTGCTGAGGCCAGGGATAGTGAACACACTTCCTCTCTCACATCCTCACCCTCCAGATGGGTGCTGCAATTCCTCTCATTGCTGCTGCTGCCCAGCCTGACGCTGGGGAATAATGCAGGGACAGCGAGGGTTTTCCAGAGAACAGGCGAAGGGAGCTGCAGATGGGCTACGGGCAGCCCCAGAAGGGGATAATTAGAGTAAAAGATGTTGCACGTGGGAAGAGAGTTAGGGCTAGGGGATGTCAAAAACACCATAACAAAACTCAATTGAACTCGCTCTCCTCTCCCTTGTTTCACTTCCTTGCTAGACAATGCCGACACAGAACTCCGTTGTGCAAGATGCCCTGCTCAGGAGTGACTCTCCAGCTTTCATCACTACTAGCTAAACCTAGAGTGAACACCCAGCCCAACTGGAAAGCAAGCTCTGACCCTCTTCCAAGTACCTCTCCTCCGTTTCCTCTAGAAAGATAAGCCCTAGAATCCCCACCACCACCTGACTCAGGCCCTGTGGGCAGCACAAAGCTCTGGGCAGCTACTCACAGGCTCTGGGCTGGGCCATGGCTCTGTAGCACCCACTGGATCCTCCCTTTGCTCAGGCTGGATCCTCCGTTTGCTCAGCCTCTCCCTTTCGTTTCCTCTTGCCCGGCTCCCCTCCTCCCTGTGCTCTGCCTGGCAACACCACCCTCTCTTTCTCCATCCGTCCGCAGGGCAGCTCCTAATAACCCAAGCACCCCTGGGCAGAAACCAAGCCCTCGTTCACCATGCTCAAGTAGCAGGAAGAAGGGATCCCAGTCTCCTATTACTAAGTGCCTGGAATTTCGAGGACTTGGGAGCCGACCCCTTCTCAGGCCCTCCACTATTTGCATTCTCTTTTCAGACAGAAAAACAGCAAAACTGCATAGCAACTGAATTGTTTCAATAGTACTACACAAAAACTCAGAGAGCTCATTCTTACAAAGATCTCCTCTCCCAAAGTCACTCTAGAAGTCATCTACGTGACGAAGATCACGTGGGAGCAGGTCTCAAGTCAACCTCCACTGGTGGTGTTGACAAGCAGGGGAAGGACAGCAACAGGTTACATTGCTACCCAACTGTGGCATGCATTCAATAAACAGAACTTCTTCCACTAAGTAGGTGGAAGCACCCAATCCAAGGAAGGCAGAAAACAAAAAGAATGCCAACAGAATACGAGAAAAATAATTTGTGTAACGTGTTGGAAAAGGCATTTTTAGGTGTGTTTCTCAGCATAAGGCAGCCCCTGAGTGGGGCAATTTCATGAGTTTATTTTCAACAGTAGATAGAATGAAAGAATCAGTATTCTTCCTCACATAACTTAAGGGTTAGCACTTGCAGTGTGGGTTTTTCAGTGCTCTCCTAGGCAACGGAGGTGCAGATGTCATTAAAACATAACAGCACTAATAGATACACTGCTGATATACCTTTGTGCCAGGGTGCAATCTTTACTGTTAATTCAAGGCTACGACCCACCAAACATTTAATGCAGAAAATCAGACTGAGGAGAAACCAGAGTGTTTGTTATGGTCTCTCTCACCAAGAGCATAGTTGCTTCCATTATTTAATTAAACCTTATTTTTCACACTAGCTGCCCTTCTCTGTGTATGTGGGTTACTCCAGAGTCATTCCTACGACAACCCAAAAGCATTTCATTTTCAATTTAAGTATATTGACAATGTAGATCAAGCTCTCCTCTTGTATCAACAATGCCACAAAGGTTTCTGAACTTTATTTTGTCAAGAATTCTATAAGCAGCATTTCTATTTACAATCCCATACCTACCCATTAGATATAGATTGGAGAAAAAGTTTAGCTCTAAAACTAAGACTTCTCTACCAGATAAATTCTCTTGAGGTACTAAGGAGAATAGTATGCCAAAAAAGAGGATTCATTCCAAAATTTTCAAAGGAACCCAGAACTTACTAATTCTTTGTTCATATTCTATTTATACTTTCATCAGAAGAACAGAGCAGGAAAAACCACCGCAAAATGCTCTGGGCTTGTCAACAGCACATCTTAGGATGCTGAAACGTGGCAGTGAGGTGTTTTGCTAGGCCAGATTGGGGATAAAAACAAAGCCCAAACCCAGCACAGTCAAAATTATACTATGCAAGTATGCAGATAGAAACCTCTCAGAAACCTCACGATAGAGGTCAGAAGATCAGAGCTCACTGAAGAGTCAGGCATGTCAGCAACAGATGAGGGGTCCTGCTATTTTTTTGTGAGTTAATCCCATGCTCATCAGGAAAAATACAGGGTCGAAAAAGTGCTTGATGAAACAATCATCCCAGGGAGCCTGTTTTCTCTGTAAGATGAGCAGCAGGACCAAAGAAGGTAGTTTCCATGTGCACTCAGAATTACTGCTAAGTGTTCCAACAGACCAGCTATATTCATATGTAGTTCCCTTGGAAAGAAACAGGCAATTCTTCTCTTCAGCTTCCTTGTTTAATGCTTTCCCTCTTCCTAACACAGGCAAAAGCAGAAAGGTGTTGAATGTATTTCTAAGTATTTCAAAGGATCACTTAAACATTGGTTGCTCTGCAGTACATGTGAACAAGGGGTGCTTTTAAAGAAAGCCAGATGAAGTTATTACACATGCAAGACCTCCTGCTTCTTGAGAAGAAAAGCAGTCCTCCTCCTCCTTCCTAGGAGGAACAATCACTTATCCAACTCCAATCCTCAAGAAACAGAGTACTCCTAATGTGTGCATGTTTATACAGAATGGCCAGAGAAAGAGGCAAACAAATGACACCTGCTATAGGACTAAAACCATTCAAAATAACTTTATAAATTCTGTCACATTTCTGCTTTGTACATCAGTTCACTCTTGTTCCTCAAGCTTGTTACTGAAAATTCACAACGTTTGCTTTTTGTTTCATTTTTTTCCTGAAAGGCAGACATAAAACCAGCCATCAGTGCATTATTTACAGAAGTGCAACATAATGTCCCTCCCCAAAATTAAACTTTTCACTAACGAGATACTTCCAACAGAGTGAAAATCAACACCACGCCTCGAGCAGTGTTTCTGAAGTCAATTTATAAAGGTTAGCTCATTTCTGCAATCCCCAGCCGACAGAGCGAGTAAAGCTTCGCTCACCATCGAGCAGGCTAAAAATACCACATTTCAAGTATTAAATCAGAAATTCCTAAAGAACAATCCATATTTCGATAAATAAACACAAGGGAAACAGTATATAACTCTCAATATACTGCATATGAAAAGTGGTGTCCAGTTTCAAACTTTTAGCAAGACAGGTGCACAGCCCCAAAAATGTGATCAAAGTAACCCTGAAAACTGTAGCAATCCGGGAGTCCTAAACACAAATCTCTTCTTTGTTTCTCCTGGAATTACTCTGCTGGTCTGAGGCATTTGATTGTTATTGAGTTCTACATCTATAGGTAATAAAAAAAACAAAACAAAACAAAAACTCCAAGCTCATTCCCATATGGAAACAATTCAAAAGCAGGTTCAGCAGATCAATCCTATTATAAACTTGCTTCTCTGCAATCGGTTTTTAATGAGATGTTACTGCAGATCTGTTTTTCCTTCTGGAACAATGTTCTCAGCCAAAATAAGTTCAAATCAAGTCACATCGGCTGCAAGCTTGCTCTCAGTTTTCCACTTCACGAGTATCTTCAACATCAGCCTTCTTATGCTTCCTCATATGTTTGTATTTTTCCACATATGCCTTCACCAGGTTAGCTACCTTCACAGGGTTGATCTCTCCACTTTTGCTGTGGCAGATCTACGAGGGATTAGACAAGGCGTTCAGTCAGTGAAAGGTATCACGACAGCTCAGGAAGACAAGTGATCAGAAACCCTAAGCTTCCCAGAAGAACCAACTCCTGCAAAGGCCCTAGAGCCTCATACCAGGGCATGCAAAGCAGACAACAAGGATAATTAAGTTCTCAACCAGCAGCAGGGTAGGTCTATCCTCTGTAGTTATTTGTAAGATGTACAACATATCTTGGTCTAAATGCACTCGAGCACGTCATATCAAACTCCAATCCATGATAACTGCTGCAATTCATGGTCTGTCTTAAAGAGTTCAGCCTCTGCTCCGTTACAATGAAACGTACTGAGCAGATTTATCCAAGTGTCAGAACAGCCTGGCACAACAGCCTGAGCTAATGACTTCCACAGAAACATGTATGACTGCACCCACAACAAGTGTATTAGAACACCAGCACAGTCGTTATGCTGGGCCAAAGACTAGGTAAGAAGTTCTCAACATCAGAGCTGCCCTGTAACCCTAGCTTGCCTCTACTACACAAGTAATATCCAGCCCCAAGAGCTGGATGCTGCTGTGCTTTCACACCTCTGCCACTGCAATAGGTGGAGCAGTGCTCACTGGTAATGTTTTACTTTAAGCACTGCAGAAATTGCCCCAGCACTTATCTACTGAGCACTAACTGAGTTTGCAGAAGTGTCTCCACAGGCAAAATTAATCATTTCTATTGCAGGGCCTTCCTGTGGTTTCTATTTAACATACCAAACTGCACTGCCATAGTCCAGCAAATTCCACACAATACACAGTGTTAAAGAGGGAGGAATGCTCAGACAAAGAACGTGCCAATTTTGAGGACCCATTCTAAGGCATGTAGCATCTGCTCCCTTTCTCCTAGAGAACTCAAAACTTAACCATTGTTCAGACAAGCATTCAGTGACTTTGTCAGTGGTTTTGCTCAGTTTTTCTGCAAACTGGATCTGTGTTTCATACACGCCATGCAGGAGAAGGTGCAGAACTGCAGTCATTATCTCAGGAATTTTGATTTATGACAATTTTCCAGCGATATCAGGAAGGCAGGGCAGAGAGAAAACAGTTCTGCAGGGTATCATTTAACGACCTCAACATTAATTGCTTTCACAAGACAACATGCATTTTTCTAGTGATAAGGTACTTTTTTTCCAAACCACAATCCAGTCAGCACTAAGTTTTGAGGCAAAAGTCAATGTCACCCAAACAGCTAAGCCCTCTTCTAAAGTTCAGGGACATCACAGGTGCCCAAGGAATCAACAAACTATTTCTTAACCCTAGGAGAAGCAGCTTGACAAATGTGGAGGAAGTTTTTAATGAAGGAGGTTTAACCTTTTCCACTCAAAATACAGGCTGTGTAACATTTCAGCTGAGGCAGCTGAAGGCACCTGATCCACACCTCTGAAAACAACTTATAAAAGCAACAGTCTGGTAACTCTCAATGGCACTGCTCAGCCTTGCTTAAAGCAACTAATGTGTTTCACGAGACCATGGAGACCGTGTCAGAGTCCAAAGATCTGCTATTTTAATCACACACATTAATTAAGCACAATCACTGAAGCTTGCAGGTGCAATTGATAGGCCACCATCTGTCTCATTAACTGCTCAGCTCCTCCCCTTTGCTGCCACCTTACCTTCTGCACAGCTTTTCGAAGAATGTTCTTGTACTCCTCCTTTGTAATCTCCCTCTTCTGGTAAAAGGGTTTGATAGCAAGTTTCACTTCTTCTACAGCCCTTTCCTGCATGTGAAGCTTCTTCATGTACTGCACAACAAAGAAAAGTTTGCTACCATGCGTTAGCATGCAAGCACTTTCTGAATCTACTTTTCTCTACTTTCTTATGCAGAAGTGCATAAACAATGAAAATACTCATTTCACCTTTCAAAAAACCACGTAAGAACCAGTTTGAAAGGATCTGCTTTAAAAATCTTGAAACAACTTCATGCTATGAGGAATCCTTGCTTTGTGAAACACTATTCTGTCCCAGAAAATATGCTGTTAACAAGTGAACATAACATCGCTTGCTAATCTTCATCTCCTTCTTCCCTTCTGGAAGCTCTGAAGTAAACATCTGTCCATCAAAATAGGGACAGAATCTAAAAGCAGCAAGCCACAGCCACACAGAGAAAGCCTCAGGTATCTCTGCAAGTGCTCTAAAAATTACAAAGTTGCTTACAAATTAAGGAGAAGAGACGGCATCAAAACTTACTCTGTAAGATCAAATTCCTAAAAACTGCTGCTCAGAAATGAAGGTTCAGTGGGGGACATCATTTCACCAGTTTAACTTTATAGTAGAAAATAAAACACCTGTCAAAGTAACTGTTTTTATGCTAACATCTACTGAGAGCTTAGAGCAGATCATCTGTACAGCAAATCCAAAACCTGGCAGCAAAGGAGTAGCACTTGCAAAATCTCCAGAGTATTTTACTATCTCTGCATTTTTAGTGCTGATTAGCAGCAGGATACAGTCCTCCTCTCCATATTGATGTTTACTTCAAAACTGAGGGAGAGAAGGAAAAAAAAAAACAAATAAACCAAAAAGGTGTTTGGAGAAGCCTGGACATTCTGGTTTTCTGAGAGTGACTTCCAAACATTCATGCATTCAAGCACCATGAGAATGTATGAGATGTTTTAAAGTCAAGGTTTTCTAAGAGTTATGAACTAAGTTCAAATAAACAGCTCATTTGTGCACTGCTTCTAATTTCTAAATAATGGCTAATGCTTCAATTAACAGGACTGCAGGTTGCACGTGCAATTCTAGTTATGCATTTGCCACTTGGTAGCATTCACTCACTTCCTCATTCTTCGTTTTATCCACTTCGGGTTTTGGTGCTTTGATTTTTTCTTCTTCATTTCCAACAGAAGCAGCTTGAATTCCTGGTTCAGATGCAGTAGCCAGGCTGCCTGGCTCTGGAGTCAGGCTCTGGCCTGCCACACAGCCCAGTGCAGGGAGGCTGCCCTGCATGATGAACTGAACGGTGGGCTGGCTGACAGGTGCGTATGGGGGGAGGCTTGAGGGCAGAGGTGGCGTCAAAGGTATATTTTGACAGTACACCTGTGAACCAGATACAATTTCATTAATGCATGTACTCACAAGAAGGAGCATCAGATGAGGATTTTCAGAGTACCTTTTATCCAGTGAAATAGGCAGGAAAATATTAGTTTAAATCAGGAAAGCTACAGTCCTCCCCTCTGTGCACCAGGAACTAGCAAGAGCCCCAATCAGCGTGTCACTGATGGAGAGTGTAGAGACTGATGGCACAGACTAATGCCAACAGGCCAATTCACAGCCTGATTACAATCAGCGAGATGCTGACAGCTTCTCAAACAAGATAACCATTGATGAAGCGAGTGCTGAAAACACAAGTTGCACATATAGTGCAGAATGAAAGGAAAACTTGCTTCTTCAATTGTAAGAGCCACCTAAAAGATAAAGTGATTAGAGGATTGCTGAGGAGTATGGGCTTTATGAAATGCACTATGCACAGAGGAAGGCCAACTCTGCCATGAGTGGAGGGTGTTGCACAACGAGGGCACAGATGAAGTGGGATGCCTTCCATGACACTTGGCTGTCAGAATAGGAACCAACCTGAGAGGAATCTAGATCAGGAAACATAGGCTCAGGAATCATATAATTGGTTGGAGGAGGCTCATTTAACTGCACCTGATTTAATGTTTGGTTCAAGTCCTCTGCTTTCCAGACTCCTTCTTTTGCTCGCTGAAGTTTGTAAAACGGCATCCCTGGGTTCCCAAGAGAAGGGAAAAATAAAAAACAAAAAATAAAGAGAGAACAAAATAAACTTCACGGGTCAAAGATTCAAAGCAATTGTACATTAAACAAAAAACACCCCAGAACGCCACTAAAACCAATGAAGGATCTAA